ATGAATCTGTGTGCCAGTAGCTCCCCAGTAGCTTGCTGCCCCGCCCTCCTGTAGCTCCCCCCAAACCCCCTAGTAGCTTGCTGCCCTGCCCGCCTGTAGCCAGTAGCTCACAGCCCCACCCTCCTGCTGATCTGTGATCCGGTTCTTATGCTTCATGGTGTAACGACCATTTGCATATTACATCTTTATTACATAGGATAGTTGCTCACTTCTGCCATAACTTCTCAGTTCTGCATGAAAGCAGTCACAGACAATATGCAAATGAATGAGCATAGTGTATGCCAATAAAACTTTATTTACAAAACAGGCAATGGACCAGTCCGGATCCAGGTGCCGGCTGTAATTTGTCAACACCTGGTCTAAGTGAAGCTGGAGAGGAATCGCTTCCACTTAGAAAAGAACCTCTCAGTGAAGGAAAGAAACAAAGAATGGGATCATACTACACCTTCTACTAACAGACAATACTTTAAAAATACAAAACAAGATCAGTTCAGCCAGTTAATCTTTTTATTTTGAGTTTTGTAAAAAAAAAAATTACAGAAAAAGCTTTGAGAAAAATGTGTTAAATATCAGCAAAAGCAGGAAAACGCGACTAGCTTTACAATATCAATCTAAACGTATACACAAAGGCAAACATTAAGTAGGATGCTACGGAAAGACAGCACTTTGGGGTCTAACTTCAGTTTTCTTTATTGCACATAAAGGTTGCTGATAACTCCAAGTCTTCACTTTTTCACAGTTAAACATAGTTTAATGTTATTTTGTATAACATGTTTATATAACGCACTAGAATGTTAATGTTATAAAACCACCAGTTTGCCACAGTTGAATGGAAATAGAAGACAAAATTCTCCCCAGCTACAGTATTTAAGCTTTCTATAAAAAGTTCTCTAGGTCACATCATCCAGGTTACATTCATTCTATTCTATTTAAAAAATTGCTTTGCAGCTCTTAAATGAATATCGGTGGCCTTTCCATTTAATAAGTTCAACGAACAAAAACGTCTAAGTAAAAAGACCAGATGTATTTTTACAGAAAAAAGAAAAAGACAACCTAGGAGTAGGTGACCCTACTATGAAACCATACTTTGAATGAGTGAGTGCAGAGATACATTCCAAATCCGTAGACTGACTCAATACCCACACAATTGAAAACAATTCTCCAAAGCCCACCGCTGGAATAATCACAACAAAAGCCAACCCCCAAATGTCCATGCAGTTAGATGGTCACCCAGTAACACTGGATCTTAACTGTTCTTAAGTGCTTTTGACAGAAATGTAGAGTTACTCAAGCTATGTACATGTCCTTTTTCTTCTGAGCTCCTCCAACATACACAGGCTCAAATCATTCCCCATTGGCCAAGAATTGAGGTGACTCTGACATCCTGTTAACCCTCTTTAAGAGGTGGCCATCAGAATAAAAGGATGGCCTCTCCCGCATGCTCTCATATCTATTTCAGAACTTTTCAAAAGGCGGCAGCGGAAGAGGAAGATCTTCCTTCTCATTTTCTCCAAGGTCAAGTAGCAGAAAATCGGTGCCTGTGTGTTCCGAGTGGACCATGGTTATCATATACCCTGCTTACAAAAATAAAGTTTACATCAAAAACTTTGGTTTTGCTCTTTACAATGTCTCCTAGCACTGGGTGACAAGACAGCATGCGTTTGTTCATTTTTTTAAAACTACTTACGAAAATTGAAACTGGAAAATATGGTTTGCTTCTAAATCTTGCTTTGAAAGGATTGTCAAAAAATCCTACTTGCTTTTCCTAGTCAGATACTCACGTTGATTTCTAGGGTGTTTCTCTGTATATTGTTCTTATTAGGTTTTAGGAAGGGGGAGGTCTTTTCAGGTATCAAAGTGGTGACGGCAGCATTCGGATGGGTCGTTTCTAAATTCTAAGTCTTGCCCACTGGGTTCTTCAACTCGCTGTGTGAGGACATAGCAAATGACACTGGCAAGCCAGAGGCCTACTTAGAAAACAACAGAAGAAATCAGAACTCAATGATACCAGTCTAAAATTTCTGACACATTAGCTCCGACAGCACTAACACATCTGCAGAATCAACATCAAAGGCAGGCCTGACACTTGTCAAGTTCCCTATTCCTGAAGTGGAATAAGAAGTTGTTCATTGAATCAGCAACCCTCATTCCAGAGTACACTTGACAACAGATTGTAAAAATCAGTTTTCTAATACATCCCTTGGAAGTCACAATGGGTGCCACGTAGGTTTCCAAGCAGATGACACCCCTCTGATGAGTGGCTCAATTGCCCTGGCACCCATCTCTTAAGTATATCAGTGGTGTTTCTACATTTAAGAGTCACTGTTCCCATCAGACACCCAACATGATTACATTAACTTCTACTATGGACAGAAAAAGGAAGGGCTATGATGAAGGGTGAAGGAAGGACGTGAAACAGACCTCTATTTTAGAAGGAACGTCACCTGTTGGCTCTCGTCTGAAATGTTCATGGATAGTGATGATAACATTTTTGGTGTTTTCTAAAATTTGCTTTTTTCAACCAAACCACAGAGGGCATTTTCAGGTCTAGGGATCACAGCCCAAAGAGCTCTTGCTATTTGGTGGATGAAATATTTGATGTCGCACTGTGGTTTTTGGCTTCAAGGCATCAATGCTTATTTGTCCGGTCAGCCCAATAAGTATCCTTGATGGTCAGTGTCTATTTAATTATATTTGCCTTTCCTATACTTGCTTCCTAGGAAGAAATGCAGACTTATTTAAATCCCAAATGTCCCCTCTAGGAAAAGAATATTAAAAGGAATGTCAGGAGTTTATAACTTCCCTCTGTCAGTGCTATCTATACACAAAGGCTTGCATCTCCTTAATTACCAGCTCCCAACACCACCACCGCATGACAGCAAAGTGATCACAACCTTTCACTCAATAAGGGGCCTGTGCTCTAGCAGTAAGCAGCCCTCCCCCTAATTTTAAGGAGTCCAGTGTGGATTCAGGCATGGAGACAAGTGAAGTGTGAAGAGAAAGAACGTTCACTTGACTGCAAAGGGGACTATTAAATTAATCCCAGGTTAAATGGAAAAGACAGCTTTTTGGAAACCTTCACATTTGATTAGTCAGCAGCTCAGTTAAGACAAACCCCCCTTTTTTCCACAAATCACAGCAAAGATGACAGGTTTTAACCTCTTCAATATATACACTCAAGCCATCCTTCTCCCCCTTTCATGCTTTAAGGTTTTCTAATATGACCTTTTTTTATTTTAGTTGTATTTATGGAATATGTTTTTGAGTTCTACAAACATTATTAGCACAAAACTCACTCACAGCTACCCAGTCTGTATTACTGATCAACATTCAGTTTGTTCCACATGACCAGCAATTTTTTTAAAAACTGAATTTTCTAGGTCATCCTTTAAGGTTGGGTCTACTGCAAGTTCTAGGCTAACAGCTCTCCACCTGAGCTGCAGATTAGAATCCCCGAGGATCTAAACATAGCACAGAAGCCTGGCCCCACTCTAAACCTACTGAATCTGGATCTCTGAGGGTGGGCCTCTATGTTGACACTCGAGGTCCAGTGCATGACATTTGTGCACTGGTGGGGGGTCCCTCAGCCCAGCCTGCACCCTCTCGCAGTCTGGAAAACCTCAGGGGATGTTTCCCTGCTGGTTTAAGTGTAATAGAACTTAGGGGAGTGGGCCTAAGCTGGCAGGCGGACATCCCCCAAGGCGTTCTTAGGGCTGCCCTGGAGGTGAGAAAAGCTCCCGCCACCACCGCTGCGCTCTCCAGCCCTGAGTCCAGCTTCTGGCTGAGTGATGCTCCCCCTGTGGGAGTGCAATGACCAACAGGAGCTCCTGCATTGAGCATCTGTCCCTGGTGGTCAGTGCGCATCAGAGCAACCAGTCATTCCACTGTTGGGTCAATTTGCATATTAGCCTTCTATTATATAGGATTTGAATACATGGGCCAGATCATCCTAATGTGCAGCCAGGGTGGAGAACCTCTGGCCTAGAACAACTGACTTTGCTGAACTGTAAACCCCACTCCCCACCCCCAGAACAAATATGCTCATAAAATGACTTGGAATTATCCTCTCAGAAGAATTTTGCCTAGTTGGATGTACCATTACTCAGCAGTTTCTATCTGGTTTATGCAAATAGTCAGTCTTGGGTTAGTTTCTCTGCACCCTACTTTTTTACTTCCCAGAATAGTAGAAGCATGAGGAAAACACATTTAGCTTCCCCCCACCCCCAAACTTATGGGGAATGACCATCAAATCAAAATGGGTTTTAGTGTAGATAGAAAGGAAAGGGGAATAAAAATCACCCAATTCTCATATATTGAACCATATGAAATTGTCGTTTTTGTTTCTTTTAAAAAATGGTGGAATGCCAGCAATTTCATATGGCTCAAACTAATAAATTTTTCTTGGTTTGCACAAATTATCAATTGAAAAAGAGGGTGAAACAATGTCTTATTTAAAAATTAACCATTAAAAATGCGAGTTAAGAAGGTTCAAGTGGCTGATTTCATGATGGATGCACTCGATTGAGCCGCTATATTATAACGGAAATGGCCACATTAAATGAAAGCGTTCTTTTTAGAAATTGGGTTTTTGAAAATAATAGCTCTGAAGCACAGAGCACAGGGAGAATCTCAAACATGGTTTCCAAGAGTTCTCCTCAGCATTTCACTTACTACAGGCGTGGGCAGGTAGAACAGCTCACCCACAAAAGAACCCAAAGTAGAAATCTAAATCTCAGACCACTCATACAGGAAGCTGGTGCAAACCTCCCCAGATACCAAGAAAATAACCTTTCTCTACATGGCACTCAGTGCCAAGGCATCTAGATTCTTAATCTGATGGTGGACAGGAACCTTCCACTGCAGAAATAAAGCTTAACATTCCACTGCCTCTCCTCTGAGTCTTCAGGTAACCACCAAAATCTCATTCATTCCGTAGCTTGAAGTTTGGAATTCTAAGTCTTTAGAATACAATCTTATGGTTTTTTTGCAGTGATTTTTTCTTCACAGTGAGATTTCTTCCCTATGAATACTAGCATATTGCCTCTGAGGGTTGTTACTGCCTTCTCAACCCCAGATCAAAGCACTCCATACATTTTGGTGTTATTTCCAAACCCACAGTAGATATCTCAGTCTTGTTCATCATTTTTCAGACAGTCAGCTCATATGGCAGCCATCAAGAATAGACGTATTTACAGTGATGTAATCATCAGTTTCTCCTGCCTTCACATTAATGAAAACAAAACAGAAACAAAACAAAACAAAAACACAACACTTTAACACTATTTTGCCTTTGGTTTGAAACATTCCAGTAACTTCTTCTTTATGGAGATTTCCAGAGAAGGAATTATAATTCTTTCCCCCATGTTGAAATGTTGATGTATATATTTTCCAATCTTCAGTCTGGAGAAAATACAGGTAGCAAAAGAAGTCAGGAGTCCAGAGATGAGGTTGCTGTCACACAGCCCTGGTTGCTGGAGCCTCCACTCAAATTGCTTTTTCATGCTTTCTGTCCCATTGGACACCAGCTTCCCCTCATCCTTGGAGGTCCAATCTCACTGGCCTTCCTTCACAATCTCTCTTCTAGCCTGTTCTCCCTTCACTTGATAGTCCTACATCCAGCTGGACTCGCACTGCTGTTTATGGATATGAAGCTTCTCCTGGGAGGGGTCCCAGCACCCACCACACCTTGTTCAGGTACCGCAGGTGAATGAAGTAGAGATCTGTAAAGCATGCGATTGTTTTTGTTTAACTCTGAACAGTGCACTACTATGTGAAAAAGTGGGAATAGATCTGCATTTGCCTTGAGCCCCACCATCTGTATCTTGGGTTAAATTTTAAATGTTAAGGTATCTTCAGACCTCAATAAGATAGAAGCGTTAGTTCCATTCAGTCACTGTCCCACCTCAATCAACACGGGAGCATGCAGCCTGCCCCACACCACCGGTGGGTCTACCCATCGTGTCACGGTTTGGGGGGAAAGTCATGCATTATCCTCCAGGGGGAACACTAGGCGGGTGCCCCGGCTGGAAACCTTCTGGTCTCCCATTCCCAGGTCTCGTTCCAGCACCTCCTCAGAGCTGCTCTTTGTTTTCCGACTGCCCTCCAGGCTCATGGAGGCCGTGTGGGAGCCGGAGGAGCCGTTGGCAGTCACTGTGCTGTCCCCGTAGGTTAAGGTGAGGTCACCCTCAGTCAGGATGAAATCAGAGTCTTCCTCTCTCAGTGGCTCTTGGTTCTGAAAAGGGCAACAAATAACAACAAAATGAAGACTGGAATCTTCCAGAGCTCCTCCATCCAATCCCAACCTCAACTCCTCATCTGAAACTGGGGATCATGAAACTGGCCTGCATCAAGCCTCCAGCATGATAACTGGATGTAAGCTGTAGAATGCTATTCAATGTATAGCACAGTTGCCTGAATTAGGACTTGGAATAGCAAAAGGAAGCTGTGATTTTAAATGCCTGGCAGCCTGTGACAAAACGGAAGGAAAGGAAACCAACCTGGATTTTCAGCTTCCCAGCCCACAAAGAAAGGAAGGGCTAAGGTCGCTGGGAAGACCTGCAAATAGGTTTCAGGTCCTCTCCCCTCTGGGAAAGGACCTCCTGCCCTACACAAACCATTCCAAACACACCGAGTTTACATTTGAGCTGCTCTTTACCCTAGTCAGCATAGCGGGAAGAAGACAACCCATTATTAGGATTTCCTTCCTGTCGCCACACAAAATCCCTGATGGGAATCCCTCATATAGATGAAGCAAATCATACAGAGAGAAGTATATTTTCTTGATCGTCTAATACAAGCATGTCAAACTCACGGCCCATGGGCCACATGTGGCCCATAACAAATATTTTTGCGGCCCAGCCAATATAATGGTATGTAAGAAACATTTTAGTAAAAATTTTGGAACTTAATTTTTACAATATCCTGTTGTACATAATTGTTAATAATGAACTACGTTTGCTAATGACTGATTACTATAATCATCTTGCGTTCATTTCCCTTATGGGCCTTACGCATAGGCACACCATTTCTCTCCACTAATACTACCAGCAGGGAATATTTTAGCAGCCCATTGCCATGTCATTAGTCTTGTACTGACTTGTTTGGTGTGTGCAACAGGAAATATTTCAATTTGAAGAAGAAAATAGGTTTATTTGTGTTACACTTATTCATATGTGCAGCTATTCAGTGTCTGATAAGAATGTTCAAGAAAAATATTAATCTTTATTAAAATGTTTTATTACTTTAATGATGACTCATTTATTTCAGCCCTTTGTATTCAGCATGTCTCTATCGAAATAAACCCACATTTCTATGAAAATCGAAGCTTTTGGTTTTTTGTGGCTCACAGAAACTTAAACCTTGTTTATTTGGCCTGTGTTAGCCTTTGAGTTTGGCATGCTTGGTCTGTTATATGCCCGCCAGGAATGTCACAGAAGCTCTCATTTGGTCCTTACCCCTCTCCTGTGAAGGGTGCAAGCACATGTCACAGAGCAGAAAATCTGAGCTAAGAGAACCTATGAAATTTGCCCAAGGTTGTCCAGCTGGTAGGAAGCAGGTTTGGACTTATGCTACCTCCAGACTGGTTCTGCCCACCTAAAGGATATGGAAAGTGACTCCATTGGGAAGAGGATTGGCACAGCATCTCATAATAAGCAGCAGTTATAGCAAAACAGACTAGGCTGAGCAAGGCAGGCATAAGCCAAGTGGCAGCCACTTGAAACTAAAAGATGGCAGGGAGAGAGTCTCAGGAAGCAATGTGAGGTCAGACAACCTTTCATTCTCCAAGGGGTTCAACAAGCAAAACAAGGGTGCTGTGCTCCCCCACTCCCCTATTTCATGGCTGTCAAACACTGTGGACTTCCGTTTCTGTTTTGTTTTGTTATCCTCACCTAAGGATATTTTTCCATTTATTGTTTAGAGAGAGTGGAAGGGAGAGGGAGAGATAGAGAGAGAAACATGATGTGAGAGACACATCAATTAGTTGCCTCCTGCACACACCCTGGCCAGGGCTGGGGATTGAGCCTGTAACCCAGGCATGTGCCCTTGACTGGAATTAAACCCAGGACCCTTCAATCTGCAGGCTGACCCTCTATCCGCTGAGCCAAACCGGCTAGGTCTGGACTTCCTTCTGGAATAGCAAACACAGTTTGAAAACTGCTCTTTCTCTGCTTTTTCCTATCTACCCTCCAGAGCACATCTGAAGTCCTACATCCTGTCCTCTACACAGCAGGGTGTCCTCAGTGCAGGACCTGAACCTGCCCTAACCGTCCATGGTCCCTGCTCAGTCATGTTGCCCACAGATTCTCCTGTGTCCATGCCTGGGCTCCCCATCTGGGTGCATCACCAAAGGACAGTGACCTCCTTCTCCTCTTTTTGGCACCCTTCCTCGAGGTACTTAACTCAGTAGGTGCTAGAGAAATGCCTGTTAAGTGCGCTGGTCTAGGGAGGACCTCACTTCTCTGGTTCCAGCCCATCTCTGTGCCCTTACTGGTAACAAACACATCCATGCTTTCTGCATTGTTTCTCAATGATGTCGACTTCTCCAAACTTCACAATGTGACTCCATTTAACCAATGCTGCAGCTTTTTTAACAGGCAAGCACGCAATCCCTCTTGCTTGCTGCCTCAAATCCTCACTGGCATTAGGTAGGATGCAAATGTATACTCAAATAAGAGTCCTCTCGTCAGGCAGAGGGAAATTCTAAAACTCGCTCCAAACTCGCCCCATCTCCTCCTCTCCATCGCTATTTAGAAAGTCCTGAAACTATGTCTGCCCGGTGAAAGTTTTATTAACAACAGATGACATCATGTCCCCTGTTTGAATACATTCCATTTCTCCCATTAATGCATGGGCTGAATATTGTTTTTGTTCATTTCTGTCAAGATACCTCTTCTAGGGCTCTTAGCACCCAGATTTCAGGGGGAGATTCCTTTTCATTCTTTGAAAGTTTGCAGCCTCAGAGGGAGAGAGAAATCTTCCTACTATGCCATAGCTGCTGGTGTTTGGGAGTCCCATAACCCGGGTACAAGGTTTCCTTGTTGCTGTGCACAATGTATGAAGCGGATGTCAGCTGGTCATTTGTCATCGATCACCTTCCTGGAGAAGCACATTCTGTGAATTTGGAGGCTGCATGGAAATGCAGCCCTGACATGCTGTACTTACGTCATACACCTGGGGACTGGTCAGACATCGAGCGAGCAGGCCACACCAGGTTGGGAGGGTGGTGGTTAATGGGGGGCCACTGTGTGTGAGGATGGGCTTCAAGTAACTTTAAAAGGAGAATTAAGAAAACAACGTCTGCAAGAACACCCCTCAAAAAATGTGTTTAGCGATCCCAACAAGTAAATCATCTGACATTCTACCCAGAAAATGTCTCTTTCCCCATTTTACCAGTACAATAAAAAATGTAGCCATTTTTATTGTGTTCCTCTTTATTGCACCTCACAGATGTTGCATTTTTGTTTGTTTGTTTGTTTGTTTGTTTTACAAACTGAAGGCAAGACTCTCCACACTGGCCAGGGTAAGATCTCTTTTTAAAATATACCTTTGATTTCAGAGAGGAAGGGAGAGAGAGACAGAAACATCAATGATGAGAGAGTATTACTCATCCCCTGTCTCCTGCACACCCCACACTGGGGATCCAGCCTGCAATTCGGGCATGACTTCCTGATTCATAGGTGGACACTCACTCACTAAGCCACGCTGGCTGGGCAAGATGTCCGTATTTAACACTATAAACTTTTTATCTCTTCTTAAAACTGCTTTTGCTAAACCACATAAGTTTTGTTATGTTGTGTTTCCATTTTCATTTGTCTCAAGATATATTTTTATTTCCCTTCCGATTTCTTCATTGACCCATTGATTATTGAGGACTGTATTGTTTAATGTGCACCCATTGGTTGGTTGTTCAGGCGTGTGATGTTGGATGTATAAATGTTTGGAAAGTTTTCCAGTCTTCCTGCTGTTATTGATTTCTATTTTCATACCATTGTGGTTGGGAAAGATACTTGCTTTAATTTCAATCTTCATACATTTTCTAAGACTTGTTTTGTGATCGAACACCCAGATCTATCCTGGAGAATGTTCCATGTGCACTTGAGAAGAATATACATGTTGCTGCTGTTAGATGCAATGTTCTGTGCATGTCTGTTAGGTTCACTTGATCTAAAATGTAGTTCAAGTCCAATGTTTCCTTATTGATTTTCCACCTGAATAATCTATCCATTGTTGAAAGTGGAGTACTATGTGCTGACAAGAATCAATTTCTTATCACTTTAGTATTTTGTCACTCTCCTGTGACAAAATTGGACTCCCTCCAATTTTCTCTACATCCTTTAGAAGCCCAGTGAGTCACATGCCTTCTGGATTACAATGTGGACAGGTCCATATGGCTTTAAGAAACCTCTGGGGATTCTATTTCAGTTAATAGCAAACAATCGTAAACAATAATTTCAACCATCCTTTCCACTAAGAATGACTAGAAAAGCTGGTCATAAAACACAACAAAATCTTCTGCTTAATGGAATCACAAAGCTACCAGGACAGTGAAGAGAGCCAGAATCTGGAGGACACCCAAGTGGGAAGCCTGGGCGCTTGGCGAGCCACGCTTTCCCTAAAGCACCTCAGCAGCTGAGCAGAGCATCTGGCAGACTAAAAGAAAATAGTGAATCTGACAAAAACTGGTGTCCAGAGTCTTCTGAGGAAGACTCCAAAACATCCTAGGCTCTAGGTTATAACCCAGAACAAAGGGTAAACAGAAAACAGACTAACCTTCACAGGAATGGCAGCCCAGCTCAAATCACCTTTATTTCTGATTGAACTAAAGTGATCTGGAATTACTAATGCCCCTAACCTAGACCCAATGTGAATTAGATTATCTCTGAAAAAAGGATAACCTCATCTGGCACGTTTCAAATGATCTGTATGCTTTTTCATTTCCCATATCTGTCACTGAAAAAAAAAAAAAGATGCACAGAAGAAAATAAATCAAGCTTCTAAAAGATAACAGGAAATTAGCTTCATGACTTTGAGATAGACAGAGATTTCGAAAACAGGACACAAAGAGTACTGACCAGAACAGAAAAGATCAATGAATTGGACAAAGACCTTTTGTTCATCAAAAGAGTCTATTTAAAGGTGAAAATGTATCACACAATCTCACTTGTATGTGGAATCTAATGAACAAAATAAACTGATGAACAAAATAGATCCAGAGTCACAGAACCATGAACAGACTGATGAATCTAAGAGGAAAAGTGGGGATAGCTGTGGGAGGGAGAGATTATCTGGGAAACTTATATGCATAACCCAAGGACACAGACAATAGTGTGGCGAGAACTTGGGAGGGGTGAATGCAGGGAGGAGGTGGTCAATAGGGGAAAATAACAAAAAACGGGGACATGGGTAGTACTTTCAACAATAAATTTAAAAAATAAAATAAAAAGCGAAAACGCAAGTCACGAGTAGCAAAGTTATTTTTATAATACTTAATTAACAAAACACTAAGCCCAGTGAATAATATGCTTCACTTCACTTCCTGACCACACCAATTCACCTACAAAGCCACATTCCTCTGGTATACAAAGCTCTGAAGAACCACATGAGTCTACCAGGCTATGGGTCGGCTAAATCTCTTGCCCGAAGAGATGCTCACCAGGACTACCTGTGGTTGAATGATCAGTGCATGAGTCCCAAGAGATAACTGACCTCACTGTAGCAAGCACACATCCTTCCTTACTTATCAGAAGTCATTTACTGGCAACTCAACAGGACGATTTCATTGCCAATGTTTCAGGGAAACTACTTCAAAGGATACTTGTGGTCAAAGCTGTACCACAGCCTGAACAGCCATGCACTCTCCTGCTTTGTCCGGTTTCCTCCAGCAGAATCTGGACCATCCTAGGAAAAAACAATAAGACAGATGCTTAGTTGTACAAATGGATTGAAAAAAAAAGGAAAAGCTTTATTTTAACCATAAGTTTTAGTTATTTTGAGCTCAGAATCATACATCCTGTATCACCAAAGCATCAAAGTTATATTGAGAAGTAATTTTTTTTAATTGAGCAATTCCAAAGGTAGGCAAATCAACCCCCCAAATGAAACAACTGGCTTATGTCTGTGGGTAGATCAACTCAAAGTAATACAAATTTTTTTCTGGTATTTTGATTGTGATTTTCCTTGAAGTGTCTTTCAGAAGATTAATTACCCTTAAGTAGTCTAGATCCTAACAGGCCAAAATTGATTTATAGAGAATATTAAAGAAAGCTTCTGTAAAACCAACTTTCCAGGTCTCCCAAAGCTGGTCTGGGAAAACTGCTTGGCCGAGTTTCCTGACAAACTAGCTCTTGGTGGTCCTGACTCAGGCCCATGCTCTGTGTTCCAGGTGGTGCAGGCACTTGTTCTACCAGCTTTAGGAAGGTGGGCATAGCGGGAATAGAGCTAGAACTAGCATCTCTGTTCTTTTATCTACCCTCAAGTAGTAAGTTCCTTTACTACTCCTTTCATGCCTTTTCAACTCAACACATCTCCATCATTTGCTTTTCAAAATAACTAGCAAATCAAACATTCAATTCTGGTTTTAAAAATCTGTTTTGTGCAGGTATTATGAGCAGCACAATTACTACTAAAAGTGGACTAACTACATCACTTTGAGGACAGTGGTGGGTACTAGATGGTTGGATGACAGGCTCTGAGAGTACAGACAGCCATTTTTATCTTCACCCCCTTGACTGTTATATGGAGAGGAAACTGGGAGACAATCAGCAATAAGCAAATAAAAGTGGAGCCACAATTACAAGTAGCTCTAAGTCACAGTGGGTGTAAATTCCACCTGTCATAGAAATACATATTATAGGACTCCTTAGAGACCTCTGAGAAGCTAAGCACACAGGCAAGTAGAGGGAGGGACGTTAGTATGCACTACTTAAATTCCTGAAGTTTCCAATGGTGAAGATTATTTTTAAAAATGAAGTCCCCATGGTATTTGAGGAATGTTTAATGGAAAATACAGGGTGGGGCAAAAGTAGGTTTACAGTTGTTCCTATGCAAAACAGTTTATTCTTGTATTATTATTTATTAATTATTCTATTATTTTGCATAGGAACAACTGTAAACCTGCTTTTGCCCCACCCTGTATGAAAACAACTTAGTTAAATGGGCCCTACTGTGGATGAGGAAATCAAAATGAGAGATTACAGAGATTAACTTTATTTCACATTTTTATAACTGGTGTGGGGGGAAAAAGGGTACAGAAATATCTCCACTTGAATAACAATCATTCATTCAGGTAACGAATCACTAGCCCAATGACAACTCTAGAGAAAGTTCAGAATGCCACACAACTGAGTGGAAAAGTGGTAGATGAACATTCTGGAAAGCAAATATATTTATGGAAAAAATAAACGGTCTAAGTTCTCAGTTCCAAGTGCCTGTAGAATCTTACGGAAGAAAAATGAAAAAGATGATAAAATCATCAGGAAAGATACTCTAAATCAGGGGTGGGAAACATCTAGCCCGAGGGCCAAATGAGGCCCAAGAAATCATTTGGTCTGGCCCTGTCAAGGCATTAAGGGTGAGTTAATTACATATTTGACCAAATAAAGCAGGGTAATTTTTAAGTTGATAATTTTGTATGGCTCGAGAATGATGTTAAAAATATCCAGATGGCTCTTGGTAGGAAAGATGTTCCCCACCCCTGCTCTAACTATCAGGCACAAGACAAGTTCCCTAAAACCAGTTTCATCTGCTCCTTCTTTAAAACAACAATAAAAATGGCAACCTCCTACTCTCATCCTCTTCTGTGCAAAACCACAATGCATTGTTGTCACTTGGGACACTTAAGTTCTTGCCATTTCATATCAAGGAAGCTAAGGAGACTTATATAAGCCCCAAGAGGGTCAATTAAAATGAGTAAAGCAGAGGAAATGCTTATTTTTTAAAGCAAACTAACAAGAAGATCTTCTCAGGGTACAAAGAAATATGCCTGCAATCCACAAATAAGACCAAGTGATCTCAGAAATGTAAGAAACTAAGAGATAGCCCTGAAGGGTCATGTGGAGCAAATACAGGGCAAATCTAAGAGGGCAACATGGTAACAGGGCTGTTAAACAACTTTTTATTCCAAGAGATGGTGCCAAAAGCATGATTAGGTAGAGGAAGAGTTTAGATAAATCCACACAGAGGCTTTGGGGAAATCAGGACTAGTTTTATAAGGTGACCCAGAAGACAAAGAACTGCTTCACAACATGACTTATCACAGACCAGCCACCGGAGTCCTTCCTGTTGGATCTGAGCAGAGATCCAACGGGCAAGGCCTCCTTCCCAGCAGCACTTGCAAACTCTTGAATATCCATTCAAGTGTTACCCACAGGAAAAGCAGGAACTTGTTCTGTCACCACACCCCTCCTCAAAACCTGCATTCCCATCAGGGGGGTTCACACCCCATATCTTTATCTCAGGCTGCTTCTAAAACCTGGGACACCCTGTCATACTCTCAACTTCTCTGCTCACAACATCTACCTGGCTGATTCCTATTCATCTTTCAAGGCTCTACACAAGGTTGTCTTCTCTGAGAAATGTTCCCTTCAAGGCAACAGAGCACTCCAAGAGGTGTGGGTGTGAACATTACAGGCTTTCTCAACAGACTACCTGGTTCCAAATCCTAGCTCTAGTCATGACTGTGTCATTGCCTTTGCTGCGTGACTATGCAAGTTTAAATAGAAATACAATTGATATATAACATCAGGTATGTTTAAGGTGTACAGTGTGTTGCTTTCATACATTTACATAGCCTATATAATAAAAGAGAAACATGTAAATTGACTGTACCTTCGCTACACTCACCAGCCAATCAGGACTGAGTATGCAAATTAACCCAACAAAGATGGTGGGTTAATTTGCATACACAGGCATAGGCAAAGAGCAGAGCAGGAGAGCTGGTGGTTCGGAGGACTTGGCAGAGTGGGAGGTCATGGGACAGAGACAGAGCATGAAGGGAAAACCAAGAATGTGGGGAGCACCAGGAATTCTGGGAATAGTAGTTCCGGTGGCAGGTGGATCTCCTAGACACCAGAGCAAAGTGAACCTGGAGCAAGTTACTGTTGTGGTGAGGAATGGAGGGAAAGCAAAGGTGAGAGACATAAGTAAAATCAGAATGTGTAGGAAAAATTAAAGGGAAGATATCCTAAAACTTCCAGGAAATCACCACCAATGGAGCAAAGAAAAAAAATGCCTCTATTATTATGTGAGCAACAAAACAAACTAGGTTGGAGTCTCAGACAATTCGCTCATATGAGGGCTCCCAGATTGGAGAGCATTCAGGTCGGGCTGAGGGACTCCCCCCTCCCCCCACCCCTCCGTGCAAGAATCTTCGTGCACCAGGCCCCTGGTCACAGTATAATTACCACTGCAGTGTTAGCTAACACCTCTATCAACTCAATAGTTATGACTTATTGTTTGTGGTGAGAACAATTAACATCTAGTTCCTTAGCAACTTTATAGTTTAAAATACAGCATTTTTTATAGTCACTGTGCTGTGCATTAGATCTCCAGATGTTATTCATCTTTTAGTTACAAGTTTGTACCTTTAAATATCCCCTTAACTCCCCCAGCTCCTGGTAAATACCGTGTTTCCCCAAAAATAAGACATCCTCCGAAAATAAGACCTAGCACATGGAAAAATAAGACATCCTCTGAAAATAAGATCTAGCGCATCTTTGGGAGCAAAAATTAATATAAGACACTGTCTTATTTTCGGGAAAACAGGGTACCATTCTACTCTCTGTTCTTGTGAGTTACGTGAGGGATTTGTAAACATTTTAGTGACATCATTAGTGGAAAATGCCCTTCAAGAATAAACACCACCAAGTCTGCTTATCAACAACTGTTGAATATATAACAAAGAGTATTTATTTCTTCTGCATCCATTAAGCACCAACTGTGTGCCTGCCAGGCACCAGGCTGGGTAATGGAAACAAAAAGAGGAATGAAACCTAGCACCTGCCCCTTGAGCACATTTCCAGAGGGGGAGACAGCTACACATATGGTGACAAATGTGATGAAGAAACAGAAAGCAGATTAAAGAACTTAAAGTCCCGCTTTCAAAATAATTTTTCTAGAACTAGTGAATAAGGATTTCAGGGTAGAATTGGACTTCATTTCATTCTTATTGTTAAAAAGCTTTTTAAAGTAAGGTCATTACAATATGAGAACAGTTTATGCTTTTTTTTCAGAGATAGAGCAAAATACTGGGCCCCCCAAAGATTTGTAGATGGACTGAAGGTTCTCCAGGGGGGGTCCAATTAATCACATGGGCCCTTTAAGAGTCAGAGTGATGTAGTGGAAGAAGAGGCAGAACAGATTCAAAGCGTGGCAGAGACTCTTCTCACTGTTGCTGCTTTTGGAGATGGAGGGGACCACAAGCCAAAAACTGCAGGTGCTTCTAGGAGCCAAGTTTGATCCCCGGGCCAATGGCAAGCAAGGAAATGGGGCCTCTGTCCTACAAGGGCATGAAACTAAATTCTACCAACAACCTGAATGAGCCTGGAAGTGGCTTCTCCCCCAATGTCCAACCCTGCTGGTATCTTGATCTTGGCTTTGAGAGACCTGAAGCAGAGACACCAGTGGAGCCCACCAGTCATCTGATCTGCAGGACTGTAATATTGTGTTGTTTTAAGCTGGAAAGTTTATGGTAATTTGTTATAGCAGGAATATAAACCGAATGCAGAGCAAATGAGTAAGTAAATGATGCAACCAGATTTGGGTCTTTTTCATTGACCCTGGGATGATGGGACCAAGATTTCTCAAAAGGGAGCAAAAAAAGAGCTTAAAAACAGGGAATCGAGCTCCATGGAGTCCACTCCAGGGCTTCCCAAATTGTAAAGTGCACACAACCCTCCTAGGAGCCCTGTTAAAATGAAGATTCAGATTCTGGGGTTGAAGTGGGGCCAGAGAATCTGCATTTATAATAAGCTCTGGTGCTGGTCCATAGGGACAACTGGGGCAGCAGAAGGAGAGGTCTACAGTCTCTAGAGTAGGGGTGTCGAACTCAATCAGAGAAGGGGCCAAAATCTAAAATCCAGCCTAAATCACGGGCAGAATGGTTTACTGAACAGTCATAAACTGTCATTGTGATGGAAACACAGCGGAGTGCAGTGATGACAGTGCGGTGCGGGCCACATTGCAAGGCCTGGCGGGACGGATTTGGCCCGCGGGCCTTGTGTTTGACACATGTGCTCTAGAGGAAAAGCAGATGAGGGCCTCCAAGAACTCATCTCTGCCACTCTCCACCCTTATCCTCCATCACTTCGTCACCAAATCCTTAAGGACCAAGATTCATCTGTCTTGTTTACTGATCTATTTCCAGAGCTTGAAAGAATGTCTAGAATATAACAGATGCTCAATAAATATTTATCAACTGAATGAATAACAATGTTAATTTTGAACTTTAAGAATAAAAACAGAGAATAGCAGGAGGCAATCAGAACAAAACAAGCTCTAGCCAGTGTTGGTTGGGTGTTGTCCTGTGCACCTTCAAGTTTGCCCATTTGATTCTTGATCAGGGCACCCAGGTTGAGGGGTTGTGGACTCCATCCCTGGTAGGAATTGTGCAGAAGACAGCTAATCAATCATTTCTCTCTCTCTCTCTCTCTCTCTCTCTCTCTCTCTCTCTCTCTCTCTCTCTCTCTCTCTCTCTCTCTCTCTCTCTCTCTCTCCCTCTTTCTTCCCTCTCTAAAGATCTTAAAAAGAACAAAAATAAAGGTGTGGTGGGAGAGGGATGAGAAAATAAGCATTTGAGGAAAGGTACTTTAGCACTGTTTGAAGTTAAAGATTTAAGTGAGTGGGTATCAGATTTCAGCTTGTAAGAAAATCTGAAGAACCCAGAAACAGACACATCCAACTTGCCCAGAAAGTTCTATGCCAATGCAACTACGAACCACTGATTTTCTGCAGTTTTTACACTTGTGTGCATACAAACATACTCACACAGAGACAATGCTCTGCTAACACAGAGGTTTCCTGTCCTCCACATTCCACTAATATCTGGCTTGGGACCTTGTCCTGCTGAGATGATAAAGGACAAATTCAGATTCGGGCTCTTAGCTAAATGTCATCAATGAGTGTTCTTCTGTAAACACGGGGAAGGAAGTGAATGGTGTGTCTGCATGTCCGGCCAACATAAATCTCAGTTGGCTCTGGCATGAAAAGTCCCCACTTGAATGGGGTGTGAGGCCACCTCCAAGCCTGGGCAGTTTGCCTCCAGCTGCACTTGTTTTTGTTTTTGTCGCAAAGTCACCAAGACCTTCAAGAAACAAAGCAACTGGGTTTTTTGTTTTGTTTTGTTTTAATGAGTCAAACTTGCCAGGGATATGAAACTCAAGTCTGCCCACAATCGTCTTATGCTTCCCTCACCCAAAGCCAAAAACGTTCAAGCTAAACAGCTCCCTTCCTTCACCCACACGAGCTAATATTCTGTAGCCCTGTAGCCAGGACTGTTTATAACCTTGGGCTTCTAGACTAGTGAGGAAAATTGTGCTCTATATAAAATAAATGCTTTCCCATCAAATGTCACTTTTCTGTTTGTTTTTAGAAAGATCATTTACAAAAGGAGGTAACACATAAGGAACTGTTTGACATTGAAATTGGGTCTCAAAAGAACTGGTGGCCCAGAAAGAAATTCACTACAGACTGATTCATATGCCTCTCAGCATAACGATTATAGCTTGTCTCATTTTTTATTCTTATATTTCCAGTAGGACATGATCTCACTTATCTGGGGGAAATGATGAACAACATAGACTAATGAACAAGAACAGACCCAGAGATAAGGAGCCATGGGTCAGATTGTTGGACCTCAAAGGGAGGGTGGGGATAAAAGGGAGAGATCAACCAAAGGACTTATATGCACACATATGAGCCTACCCAGTGATCAAGGACAATAGGGGGGTAGGGGCATGAGTGGGGAGTGGTGGGGGATTGAAATGGGGAGGGGGGGTTGAGGACAAATATGTGATACCTTAATCAATAAAGAAATTAAAATAATTAATTAATAAATAAAATGGGGGGGGGAAGGAAGTAAAGAGAACTGCCCTTTCTTTCCAATGGAGAACAAACATCTGGACTTTCTCCACCTCTCATTTCAGTTTCATGACAACATGGAGTGTGTGATCTGGATCCATTTCAGGGGAAGCTGCGAGAACCCAGGGTTTCACCCAAAAATGAGAAGCCCATTTATTTCCTTGTTTGACTGGTTCACATGACCACTGAGTACTCCCAGCACTGCCGTCAGTGGCTCACTGTACCAAGGTCAGGCCGGGAGGATTTAGAGAAAGGGCTGTTTCTGCACAAGGGCATGAGTCATTTTTTGTCCTGAGGAACCAAACTTGAAGTTTAACTTCCCTTTAACTTTCCATCTTTTTTTTTTTTTTTTTTTTTTTTTTGATCCAGTCTTGACAGCAATCTTGAAATGCCAAGGGAACTGACTGGGAGGCTCCTGCATGACTGTGTGAGAGACTTGGAAGATGGAAAGTTTAAGGGAAGCTGTAACACAGCTTCTGCTAGGGCTGGGCCATCTGGCCTTCTCTGTGCAGGGCGAGTGGCTGTGCCCTTTTCCAGACAGTCCAAAGGGCCCTCCAGGGAGCTGTCAGGAACACTGAGTCACTGAGTTTACCCACCCAGGAAGGTTTGCCTATCTTAGCTGTCACTTCATGGACTAAATGCACTGCCAGATCCTTTAGCATCGTGGTCGGCAAACTGTGGCTTGCGAGCCACATGCGGCTCTTTGGCCCCTTGAATGTGGCTCTTCCACAAAATACCACGGCCTCAGTGAGTCTACGTTGAAGTAGTGGCATTAGAAGTAGTTTAAGTTTAAAAAATTTGGCTCTCCAAAGAAATGTCAGTCGTTGTGCTGTTGTACTAGTGAGTTTGCCGACCACTGCTTTAGCACTTAGGACCTCCTGCTTTCTCAAACATTTCCATGGAGAAGAATCAGCAAGTTTGTTACTAAATCTGGTCAGAAGCCCATTGTTTCCACGTGCAGTTCCTATGAGAAGTATAAGAAGTTCAGCTGCAAACCAACCAAATCATTTCCCACATTTCCTTTTACAGATGCGTGGGTCCAAAGGAAAGAGCAATAGTAAACAGCAAGAGGGCTGGGAGATGTGAACTGTCAAGATGAAATCTCTCTAAACCCTGGCTATCCAGCTGGAATTGGTCGGCTTTCCTTATAAAATTAATCTGGACTGGCAGTAGGTCTGTGGAGAATACTTTGGAATAGGGCAGTCATATCCTACCAGAGCCATAAGTAAAATAAAGACATCCATCACGCTCTTTGCCCAGGTTTTCTCAGGGTGAGTTTTCAGATCTCATAAACAGTTATGTTCTGAATTAGTTTCCCAGAACCCTGTTTACTGAAGTCCTTAATCACAGCAACTTTTCGAAAAGAACTTCTCATTGAAACCACATGTTCCCAACTGCTGTGATGGCCAATTCTAATATAACCGCAAAGGTCTTCGGGAGCACAACTGGGGTGGGTAACAAATCTCCAATGTAGCTCATTGAAAACTCTTCCCCAAATGCCCAGAGCTTTCAAAGGACATGGCTTTGTGTTCATTAAGAGACATAAACACCAAGGGTCATAAACACCAAGAATGCCTTATCTGGCTGTGATCATCCTCAAAGAGAAATGAATCAGAAAAGCATCCTCTGGCCCCCCTCACAGCACTGCATTTTGCAATACTTGTCACTTGGGATTTGGTTGATCGAGTCATTCAGAAGATCCGATGGAATCTGAAATATGTAGACTGGACTTGGGATGAAGTGCAATGATGTGTTTAATTCAATGCTGGCTGGAAGGAAAAGCAACACTCAACATGGCTTCACAGACAACATGTGCATGTGGCCAGTAAAGCTTCCTACTACACTGCTTCATGCCTGCACCTGCCCAGGAAATACCCCTTGAGCTCCTCAGGAACCAGGAACTATGCTCAGCCCTGCATGTTCAATGCTGGTCAAAATTGTTCTTGACTTCCAAGGGCAAATAACAGCATCTTGGAATCAAATTTCTGCTCTTATAACTCTCCTTTCCTCCAGTTGGCATGCTCAGGAAATGCCAGCCTGGGAAAGGAGCAAAACCTGGAGACAAAGTCATCCTTCCAGCCCCACAACCAGGGTGATATGGCAGCATTAAAACATGTTGACCACTTCATTGACATTCTTCCCATCAAGGGGTTATGGTCTCTATCCCCTCCCCTTAAATCTGGGCTGCCCCTAGCAACTCGTTATAACCAATGGAAACTCATAGCAGTGATGCTGTGAGACTTCCAAGGTTAGGTCAGAAAAAGGTATGGCCCTGGCCGGTTTGGCTCAGTGGATGGAGTGACGGCCAGCGGACTGAAGGATTCCAGGTTGATTCCAGTCAAGGGGAGGCCATTGCAGGCTCCTCCCCAGCCTGACCCATCTCTTTAATATGTTGTTTTTGAACACTGTCTCTGGGGTCAAATCCTGGCTCCATCACTTTCTAATTCTCTGGCCTTACATGACTCACTGAAACTTTCAGATTTCAATGTCTTATCTGTAAAATGGAATAACAGTATCTTTCTCACAAGGTCCTTGTCAAGATCACAGTGAGGGCATTCATGTAAAGTGCCTAGTGGGTAGTAAATGCTCAATACATTTGAGCTATTTTTAATACTATCTTCCCTGAGAAGAAACATGTCTTGTGACTTACCCCTTGTAAGACTTGAAAGCTGTCGTTGTTGGGAGGCGGGTCTTGATCTGGGTCAACACCAACTCTGTAAGTCACCAGGGAGAGAGACAAGGAGAAAAATGGAGAGCATTAGCTTGGACCATGGGGGCCGTTCTGGCTGAAAGTTGGCAAGAGGCTGACCATCTTCCCGAAGCAGAAGGCATGATTAGCTAGAAGAGGAGAAAGACTGTCATGCAAAGGTAATGAGAAAGAGGTTTTATACTCAGATCCCAGGGACAGGAGGGGCAATACATTCTGTGGGCTTACACCCTGAGCAAGGCCTCTGAGGAACAGCACCAGCTGGCAATGTTGGTCTGCCTTCCTGTGCCAGACTGTCCTAAAAATGTGGGTCCCACTGCTCCAGGCTCTTCCTCTCCACTGCTTCCTCACATCTGCCCTGCCCTGCTTTTATTTCCCTACCTTTTGTCACGAAACTTCTCATATAGCCAAGGACGTGTTGAAAGAATTTATAGTGAACACTTATATACCCACCACCTAGATTCTACCATTAATCTCTTGCTATACTTTATTACATCTCCATCTATCTCTCTATCACTCATCTTATATTTTTTGGGTGAATTCAAATAAAGTCACAGGCATCAGGACACTTCCTCTAAATACTTTAGCATGCATATTTAACTTTTTTTTTTATCCTGGTGCCTCCACATCTTCCCACAGCAGAGATGACCTGTGACTTATAACTGAAGACAGGTGATAAAAGCAAAGTGCCAAAATCCACTGATAGCAAATTCATAAAAGCACTATCTTAGCTTAGTAACATAACAACTGTTGCCCTTTGTGTCTGTTAATTCTTTATCCCTGTGTTTTCCTGATTCTGACACAGATAGAATGGAACAATGAAGGCGAAAATAAAGATGCCAGGAAAATTCTCTGTCTTCCCTCACTTCCTCCAGTGTCACAAAGAACAGATAGCATTATAAAAGGTAAAGGAAACACAGCTTTCAGCAGGTCTGATTGGAGCTTGAAGAGAGGTGCTGAATGGCCTTGACCAGGGCTGTTATCTCCAGTCCAGTACCAGGGTGCTGACTCCGGTGAGCAGGCAGCAGATGCACAAAGCCCTGTGGATGCATGTGGATGCATGTCTTACTTTTCCTCTGTTCCTTCCCTCTTCCCCACCTGTGATGTCCAGAATATTTCTTGAGAAAAGAGACTAATGGAAAAGGGGAATGGAAGACAGCACAGAAGCACCCCACCTGCACAACCAACCTCTACTCTCTTACTCCAGGCTTGTTAAGCACTAACCCAAGGTGCATGCCCCTGGACAAGGTGGGTACAGAAGAAAAAGTAACAGTTACCCCATATTTTGATGAAGGCAAAGCTTAAACTCACAAGATGAAGCCATGGATTCAGCAAACATTTATTAAGTACCTACTATGCCAAGCACTGTTCCAAGCACTTAGTTAAAATCCATAGTGTACCTAGTGTCAGATTTCCTCCCCATGGGCCTGAGGTTTCATGGGACCTTTGTAGTAAATTAGATGGGCTTTGCTGTGTCTATAGGCTGCTTCTAGGCAGGAGTTTTTGAGGAATGGAGTCTTATCCTTCCAATTGGACATTATCCTGGGATTCTGAGCAATAAATCTCACAGAGATTTTTTTATATGAAATCCATCTAATTCAGAGGTCCCAGGAATGTCCACAAAAGTCACACCAGAGCATCAATGCACCCAAAGTGTCTAATGTTCCAAAGAGGTAGAGGTCACCAACTGAATGTCTAGCTGTGATCCTGAACCTTCACCTGTTTGTTTGTTTTTTAATGTATTTTTATTGATTTCAGAGAGGAAGAGAGAGGGAAAGAGAGAAACATCAATGATGGGAGGGAATCATTGATCGGCTGCTTCCTGCACACCTCCCTACTGGGGATTCAGCCCGCAACCTGGGCATGCTCTGACTGGGAATCGAACCTTGACCTCTTGGTTCATAGGTCAACGCTCAACTACTGATACATACAAGCTGGGCTGACTTATCCTTATTTTCAATAAGCATGAGACAAATGTGGAAATCCCACACCAAATGAGAAAATAAGGAATAAAATGGATGTGTTCATTCTGGAATGATTAAATAAAAAAAATGAATAATTCCTCTTCTGGTATAATATGTACATTCTGAGTAACTATCATAAAATGCTGTAAACTTTCAGAAACTTTAGAACTTCTATAATTTAGAAGTTTAGAACTATACTTTAGTTTGAATGACCGAGGTCCTAAATAATCTGAGAGACATTATGCATGCACCTTCATACAAAACCTTGAACAACAGATCAGAATATGAATTCTCTCACATTCCAAATGTAATAATTTGTACTTTCCACTTCCTTCTTACAAGTGGAAAATCTCAAAGGAGGGGGTTTCCTCTGCAACTTAATCCATATCTAAGGTCAGATCTCTGAAAATAAACCTGTGTGTGAGTTTTAAACAGAAAAGTGTTAGAACCCAAGAAACTTAAACATGTCAATTAATTGTATGCGTGCCATTACAGTATACATCCAGGGCCTAGTATATCTCAAGATCCATGCACTGCGGCAGCTATATCTGCTTTCCTCGCTGTGCTCAAAGAGTGAAATACTTTCCCAATGCCAAGAATAGAGTAGAGTTCAAGCCTACTTTGCATTTATATTATTGAGCAGCACCCAAAATCAGACCAGAAGAAAGCATGCTGGTTAAAGATGTAGAAAGGAAAGAACATTAAAGTCTTCATTCTGATTGTCCAATATCACCACCCTTAAGCATAATCAAATCAAAAACCTGCATGCACACCGGGCAACAAATTGCATTAGAAGAGCCTTTAATTATCTTCCGGTTTAAAAACACCTGTTTTTTGTACCTTCTGATTCACCATGTTGAGGCACAAGTACACAAAAACATACTTAGAAAACTAAAATAGTACTTAATTAAGATGGTGTGAGCCATATACCAGCCATGGCTGAAATATAAAATTCTAGTTCTCTTTCTAAGTTGGAAGCCTTGTTTACTAGAGAATATGCAGAATTTTGTGGGGAAAGTATGGGTGGCTCTGCAAATGTGTTGCTCTCAACACTAAGGCCAGTTGTACAAGGAGACACCCGACAGCACTGTTCAAAATGTGGGGTAAGGAGACACAATCTCAGGAACAGATACATCAACCAGCTGAGAGAAAGAGTGGAAAAATCATTAGACTTGACCTGACCTCTTGCCCCTTTGCTAAAAGGGGCAGAGGGTTGGCACACACAAGAAGAAAGCAAGAGACAAATGGCATAAAGAAAAACATCTGTTAGAAAGAGGTTAGAAAGAGTGGGAAAGCCAGGCCAAGTTAATTTGTTTCTGAGGATGCCCTTGTGTCACCTGAAGTACTGCCAATGGTTTTCATTCTGGTCCTCTTCAAAGGGCTCCTCGACGCCAACTCTGGGCAGTAGAAGAAGGGAACATGAGTGTGACAAGGACAATAGGGGAGCCAGGGGCTCTGGGCACATTACCTGGACCACGTCCATCAAAGAATAGATGGTCTCACTTTAAATATAAATCCATACTCTTTCTTACACTATCCCTACCCTCTAAAACCTAGAGAGGCAGAGGAGCTGCTAAATTTACATTTAAAGCAACAATGTTAGGAGCCAGGTCAAATGAGGATCAATTTAGAATGAAGATAAGCCTCTCAAAATATAATGAAATTAAATCAGAGGAATAAATGCAACTCAGGAAATGAATTTCTGCAATTTTTCAGGAACTCATCTGTTTCATAGAGCAAGACACAGCCATACAAAAATAAAAAAAAAACAAAGTTGTTACTAAACACATATTTGCAGCATTTACACATATTTGACAGAAAGAACAAAAAGCACTATATTATTGAAAACAGCAACAATAGTTAGGAAGACAGGGATGGCCTTTTTTTCTAGATAAGTATGTCACATTGTCTATGTGTTCAACCTGAAGGTCAGGAACCCAACTTCTGCTCTTCTCTTTACCTCGTGACTTTAGAACTGGCATGGTCCATTTTCACCTTCCTTAATAATTGCTGGCTTCTTCAGAGTGCATTTACATTTCACTGTTACATGAAGAGCAAGATTTCACATACTTGGCACTATTGATATTTTGGGCGCTGGCCTTTACTCACCCGTAAGCACTGGGGTGGGTACCCCGATGCAACCAAAAATGTCTCCAGACATTGCCAAATGTTCCTGGGGGGAAATTTCCCTCAGCTGAGAACCACTGCATTAGATCACGTATTCCCAATGGGGGAGAGGGGGATATTATCCCCAGGGGTGTGAAAATTTGTTCTTATAGGACAAAAACGTTTTTTAGAGATTACAATGATTTGTGCCATGGTATATAAATAAATATATACTAGATCTATGGTATTGAATTCCTTAAAAAGGAAAATAACAGTGGTACTAAAATTTTACTATGGTATTGAAACTGAGGAAAACATTTTTAAAGGCTCCGGGGGGTGGGGGCAATAATAAAAAAAAAAAAGGTTGAGAAACACTGTTCTAGACATGCCCAAATCCTCAAGCTACGAATCTCTCCTGAAATATGCAAGTGAAAAGGTGATGCTTCTTAAAGTGTTACTTTTAGTCCACATTCAGACTGTGACTTATCCAGACTATACATATTACTATAGTGTTAAAAAATACAAATTCCAGAAAAGCAATCTAGATCCCATAAATGTAAGATCCACTTGTAATAATAATAGTAATCATAGCAGTAGCCATAACATGATTATCAATGTTAATAGCTAAAATAGACTAAATGTCTACCATGTGCCAGATGGCACAGCGAATGAAAAAATTCCCTATCACATGTATTCATCACCACATTTTGTCCTCACACTATTGTCAACCCCATTTAACCGGCAAAGAAACCAAGTTAAATAAGTTGCCCAAGGTCATAAAGGTAGAATATGGTGGAACCAAGACTGCAATTGTGTCTGTTAGGTGCCAGAGCCCTAGCTCTTCACTTTCCAGGATGCTGCCTTTCATTACAATGTGTCATCTTGAAATTCCTTAAAAATATTCAGTTACAAATGCTACCCTGTTTCCCCGAAAATAAGACCGTGTCATATATTAATTTTTTCTCCCAAAGTTGCACTAGGTCTTATTTTCAGGGGATGTCTTATTTTCGGGGAAACACAGTATTACATAAAGAGCTCAGGGCTTCTCCCAGCCTTTATTCCTTAAGCCACCTTACAAAGAGCTTTATCATAAATTCTGTCTAACAAAATTATAGGGGACAGGGCTTCCTAACTCGTCCTTGAGTGATTGTATTCCTACACTCTCAGGTAGAAGGGTTACCTGTTCATTGGACTGTATGGGTGTGCGCCATTCCACGCCCCCCTCCCACCACCACCATAATCACCACTTCACGTGTGTGTCACCTAAGCTGGGGGCTCCAAGAAGACAGCCACCATGCCATCAAAATGCACTCAGGACACATGCTGAAATAATCCTGTGATCATTTTTTCTAGTTGCCAAAATTTTGTCCTTTGTGAATAGCAAGACTTGCATAAGAGACTAAGACAAATTTTATGTAGTTTGTACATTTACAGAAAACAATATGAGCATTTTGCCACCATGTTTTAAAATATTAATCACAAAATACCAATTGTAAAAGGTAAGTTGAATTTCTGGCAATCAGTGACCTGGCTTTGGACTTGTGGTTATATTTATTTTTACTTTATACACAGACTAGAAATTAGCCATGCTTTTAAATCACAGCTAACTCTCAATTATTTATCATTGAACTCTGAGTCCTACCCTGGGCTTCTGACTTCTGAGCAGGGCCTCTGTCAGCAGCCTGAAGAAGTAAAAACAAGCAGGTGTTGATCTTACTGAGGTTACAGAGGTCAAAACACCATGCTGAATTTCAGGGGGTTTCTGAATCACTTTAGAATAAGAATCTGGTTTATATAAATGATTATGGCCACTGAGTAACATAATAAAGTCACAAGCCAGAAAAAAAAACAATCAGTTTCATTTCCTTATTTTGGAGGGAATTTCTTTTTAGGTAATCTCTGTAAATTCCAGTATATATATACACAAACACACACACACACACACACACACACACACACACACACACACACACATATATATATATATATATATATATATATATATATATATATATATATATGCTGCAGTAAAATGACACTGTATTTTCCACCAATGACATACTTTGCTTCATTATGCTATCAGAGTAGAGTTAGACAGAAAGAAAGAAAGAAAGATAGGAGCAAAAGTCAATGAAATTGAAAACCAAAACAATACAGTAAATCAATGAAATAAAAAGCTAGTTCTTTGAAAAGATAAAAAAATATCAACCAACTTCTAGCAAGACAAATACACCACAACCAAGTGGGATTTACTTTAGAGAAGTGAGGCTGGTTTGATATTTGAAAATTAATCAATGTAACCCACCATATTAACAGGCTAGTCAAGAAAAACAATGTGATCATATCAATTTACGCAGAAAAAGCACTCGATAAAATTTAACATCTGTGTGTGATTTTTAAAATCTCAGAAAACTAGCCATAGATATAAACTTCCTCAACTTGATGACGAACATCTTAAAAACCCCCTGCAGATAACATCACACTTTATTGGTGAAAGACAGAATGTATTCCCCTTAAGATCAGGAACAAGGCAAAGATGTCTACTCACATCACTCTTATTCAACACAGCACTGAATGTCCTAGCCAGATAAAAAAATCAATGAGAGAAAATAAAAGGAACACTGGTTGGGAAAGAGAAATAAAGCCATCTCTATCTGCAAATGACACAATCGCCAAAATCTCAAAGACTCTAAAAAAAACCCAAAAAACAAAAAAACAAACAAACAAAAACAAAAAAACACCCCAAAACAAAACAAAACACTTCTAGGACTAATATGTAAGCTTGGCAAGGTCACTGGACAGCAGATCAACACACAAAAACCAACTGTGTTTCTATATCTTTTCAATGAACACATGGAAACTGAAAATAAGGTTGAATAATCTTTATAATTGCTCAAAAAGAAGAAATAATTAGATGTAAATCTAACAAAACATATGCAGGCATTGTATACTGAAAATTATAAAATACTTATAAAAGAAATAAGAGAAAATCTAAATAAATAGAGAAAAATACCATGATCATAGATTCAGAGACTCAACAGAGTAAAGGTGTCAATTCTTCCCAAATTGATATACAGGTTTAACACAATTCCTATCCAAATCCCAGCAAGATTTTTAAAAAGATATAGATAAGCTTATTCTAAAATGTATATGGAAAGGAGCTAGAATAGCTACGATTGTCTAAAAAATAATAAAGTGGAAGAACTCACTCTACCGGATGCTAAGTATATATATATATATATATATATATATATATATATATATATGCCTAAGCAACCAGCCAACCAGCCAGTAGCTATGATGCACACTGACCACCAGGGGGCAGATGCTCAATGCAGGAATGGAAACCACAGGCATGGAAACATGGAATAGACTAATGAATCTCAGAGGGAAAGGGGGAAGGGGGAGGGTTGGAAGAGATTAACCAAAGATCCTATATGCATACTAGAGGCCCAGTGCAGGGTCCCTTGGCCTGGCCTGCGGGGATCAGGCCAAAACTGGCTCTCCAACATCCCCCAAGGGGTCTTGGAATGCAAGAGGGCTCAGGCCAGGCCGAGGGACCCCACTGGAGCATGAATCCATACACCAGGCCTCTAGTATAACTATAGTTATCAGGATAGTGTGGTACATGTGGAGAGATAGACACATGAGAAAATGGAGCAAAAAAGAAACAGACCCACATGCATGCAGCCAACTGATGTTTGGCAAATGATCAATAATAATCTACTGGAGTAAGGATAGTTGTTTTTTTTAAGTGTGCTGACAACTGGATAGCAATAATCAGATAAAATAAAACCTGGATCTAAACCTCACATCTTATATAAAAACTAGAGGCCTGATGCATGAAATTTGTGCAAGGGGCTCAGCCCCTTCTGCCACAGTGGCTGCCTCTGCTTGGCCCCCTCTGTTGCAGCTTCATCCAGAAGGTCATCTGGAAGCATGTCCGGTCTAATTAGCATATGACAGTTTTATTATTATAGATTAAGTCAAAATGGATCACAGACTTAAATGTAAAGAGCAAAAGCAAAACACTTTTAGAAGATAATACAGAAAGAAATCTCGGAGATCTGGGACTTGATGAAGAATCTATAGACATGACAACAAGGGCACAATCCATAAAAGAAAAAAAATGACAAAGTGTCTCCTTCAAAATTAACATCCTCTCTATGGCAGACCCTTTTAAAAGGATGAAAAGACAAGCTACAACCTAGGAGAAAATGTTTGCAAACTACACATCTAGACTAGTATCTAGAATAAATAAAATATTTAAACAGATATTTTACCATAAAAGATGTATGAATGGCAAATAAGCACAGGAAGAGATGTTCAACGTTATTAGCCACGAGAGAAATGCAAATTAAGACCACAATGATGTACCCCACATACCTATTAGAACAGCTGGATTGAAAAAATTGTGATAACACCAAATGCTGGCAAGGATGTAGGGAAATGATCTCTCAGACACACAGTCATGCACATAATCATCTCTGACCCGTTGCTATGTGCTAGTGCTATGTTCTGAGTGCAATCCAATTATTAATTATATTAATACATTTACTGCTTGTGTGCCTCAGAGAAAGTTGCCCACACTCTCAGCTCTGGGTAGGACTGTTTTCATGTCCCATTTCTTTATTTTTAAAAAAAAATATATTTTATTGCTTTTTCACATAGAGGAAGGGAGAGGGATAGAGAATTAGAAACATCTATGAGAAAGAAACATCAATCAGCTGCCTCCTGCACACCACATACTGGGGATGTGCCCGCAAACCAAGGTACATACCCTTGACCGGAATTGAACCTGAGACCCTTCAGTCTGCAGGCCAACGTTCTATCCACTGAGCCAAACCGGTCAGGGCTCATGTCCCATTTCTTGAACAAGGTTATGAGAAGTGCAAAATGTCAAAAGTCAACTCTCTATTCTCAGTGGAAAATTATTTGATCCTGTATATGTTAGAGGAGGCAAAAAGGGACTTATAAAATAGCATTAAAAATTCAGTCTCTGAGCTTCCAGGGTAACTACTGGGTGACCAAATAGGAGCAGGAAGTTATCTCAGAGGTCACTGAATCCAAGATCCCCAACTGTGTGTAGGATAAACCTCCTTCTTGGTTCTTTTTTTAAAAAATATATATTTTATTGATTTTTTACAGAGAGTAAGGGAGAGAGATATAGAGCTAGAAACGTCGATGAGAGAGAAACATCGACCAGCTGCCTCTTGCACACCCCCTGCCGGGGATGTGCCCGCAACCAAGGTACATGCCCTTGACCGGAATCGAACCTGGGACCTTTCAGTCTGCAGACTGACGCTCTTCCACTGAGCCACACCGGTTTTGGCTCCTTCCCGGTTCTTAATCTGCTACACAGAACAAAGATGTCTCAAGTTTCAAGCCAAGAATCTGTAAATTTTCTTCTCTGGATTTATATTACCACAGATGCACTGTTTTCCTTAAGATTCATGCCAAGAAACTGAAATTCTAATAATCCAAATTTTACAACATAAAAAAGACCCTAACACAGCAAGCCTTCTTGCAGGCAGTCACAGCACTATAGTAGTTAAGAGTGTGGACTCTGTGGCCTGGATTCATATCCCAACTCGTCCACTTCGAGCTTTGTGACATTGGGCAAGTTATTGCTCTGTGCCCCGGTGTTCTCAACTCTAAAACGAAGACAATAGTGGTAGCTGCCTCATAGGAATGTTATGAGAATTACCTTAATATACATGTGGCATCTTAAACACCACCAGCAGCACGTTTTAGCTATTAAGTGACTATCACTGATAAGCCCCACAGAGATTCTGCAGATCCACTGCAGCTCTGAGGCTGAGACATGCCAGCCCCCAAATGGTAGAACTGGCAGTGGCCAGACCCCTGCCTGCCATCACTGTAAAAGGCCCCAAAGGGGAAGACTTTTCTCTCAAATTCCGTCTTCTCCCTAACTCCAAGGATGACTGCGAGGTCCTTTCCTCTCCTCTGAGCCGGGCATGCTTGGCAGCTATCAGTCCCATGTACTCTACATTCTAGAGAAGGAAACACAAGCTTTGCAACGCGTCCTTCACGCCTCTGTACCATCCACGTGTCACCCTCCACAGACCCAAAACTGAGGCAGGTGACGAGAGCTCCTCCAATGATGGAGGGTGCTCGCTTGGAGCTAAAGGCTCCCTGGGGGAAATGTGACAATGCGCTTTGATTTACTGTTGAGAGAAACTCAGGTCCAAAGACATGAGGGACTTGCATTAAACCAGAGCCAGAGGGGGGCTGCAGGTCCCTTATTCCCTGTTCCTACGTCCTCATGACCAGGGTGTCGGAGCTCAGCAGCCAAGTTTGGCGTTTACATGCTCTTTTAAAAAAGCAAACTCAGGCCAGCGCCCCTTCGTCCTGACACAGCAGCAAATCCACAGGCAGGCGACATCCCTGAGACTGCCACAGAGGAGGGGTCTGCAGGGACTATCACCTCTTTTATGCACTCAAGCAAAAGGAGGCACAGCAGTTACCTCCCAAAACAAAACTCTAATTGTGAACATCAAAACTTAATTGTGAAATGCCTATTCTCTCTCCCGCCACTTTAAGACTTTTTGGACTCTTGCTGCTCTAGAAGGTCCCGGTGTTTCTCATTCCTTGTGTTTTTACACCAACAAAATTTTTAATGACAACATTTTTTTTTCTCCCGGAACATGCAATACTCTGAATTTTTATGGTTTTTCCGTTTTAATCTCTCTCAAGAACAAAATTAAAAAAAAAACAAAAAAAAAACCTGTAGAAACCTTCCAGGCGCTGAGCTAAAGCACATCCTGCATGCCCAGAGTGGTGCGGACACAAAACCGGCCTCGGTTTCAAACCAACCTTATATTAAGCCAGGACAGCATGGGTGTTGTGCCTCCGCCAACGATCCAGACGGTGAAAAAGACAATGAGAAGGGTGGTCGTGAACATCATCTGGCGAGCATAGGATGCCGTGTCTCGGATGGCCAGTGCAAATGCCATTGCTCCCCTGAGGCCTGCAGGGACCAAAGAGGAAGATCTCCTGGTTATAAGGACACATGACAGCATGACCTCAAATCCACTGCTGCCTCTCGGGGCTCATAAACTAGTATTTCCGGAGCCAAGCTGTTTTATTCAGAAAGAAGAATCTTAAAGGAATATCATTTTCTCCTATTAGAAGTTTTCTTTTGCAAAATGTCCAAATGCAATGATAAAAACACTGCACTAGCCCAGCTGGTGTGGCTCAATAGTTGAGCATCAACCCATGAACCAGGAGGTCACAGTTTGATTTCCAGTCAGAGCACAGGCCTAGGTTGTGGGCTCAATCCTGGTAGAGAGCAAGGCAGCCAATCAATGATTCTCTCTAATCATTGATGTTTCTCTCTCTCCTCTCTCCCTTCTCTCTGAAATCAATAAAAATATATTTAAAAGAAATACTACTGTAGTGTGCACAGCACATTTTAGAATAAACTCTTGCATTGCTGAAATAATTCTCCTGCTAGTCATATAAAATCAAAAGAAATGTAAGAAATAATTTAAGCTCTCCAAGTCTGTGATCCAAGCATGACCAATGCATTACAGTCATAAGCATCAGAAACATGCTAGATATGACTATATCAAATGTGTACTTGTGGTTCATGTACTATGAACCACAAAACAGCTCAGCATTTCCCTAGCAAGGCCACACAGAGAAGTAACCATATAACCTGATCTATTATACATCAGGGGTTGGGAATTTGTTCTGCAAAAGGTGACAAATATTTTATGCTTTGAAGACCACAAGGAAAAAATTAAGGCTGTCATGGAGGTCCTTCAATAAAAGAGAGAAAACAAATTTTCACAAAATTTGATTGACAAAAACTAAGAATATAATAATATTAATTAGTACAATTCATTCTAATACAGGTCTACTACTGAAAAGAAAGGAATTCTTTGGGGTGCTTATTTGGGGTTCAAAGTTATAAGCATTCACCTGTGAAAGCCATTCCAAGCCCTATGGGTATATGAACACAGGCACACACAGATTTGGCTAAGCACCAACATTTTCATGTTTATCTTTCTGAGTTCTTTTGTTCCTTCCCCGTACCATGCTCATAATTTGTTCTATAGTTAAGACTGAATCCATGGTCTTTAACACATACAGTATTTGGTCTAAATTCCTATTCACCATGAGCAAGATTGTGTGTCTATGAGAATGAAAGTTATGCTTACTGTATCTGTTTATAGATCTTCTCACCTTTCCAATCATTTCATAATTAATCTGAGAACTTCACTACAATTTACAAAAAAAAAAGAAGTGACTCCATAAAAGTTATCTAAAAAAACTGAGCAAGGTTAATATTTTCTATTAACCCGTGGTAGTGAAATATTTATACAGATCTACCTTGCCCTACAAGTCAGTTATGTCATTGATCAATCGATCAATATTTAAGCCTCTAAAGAGATGTTATCTCAAAGAAGAAAACTCAGAGGATCAGAAAGAGACAACGTGTGCTGTATTTTTCTTACTTTTATTAGGTGAACATTGTAAGCGATATGAAAGTGAAACCTCAGGTAGGTTATGGCCTCAAAGAGTGAGCCCTCCCAGCAGAAACTAATTTTGACAGGAGATATCTTTAAACAGCGCTGTGTACTTCTCAGTCTTTTAGTACAGAAGGGGAAGAACCTGTTTTAAGTTTAGCTAGGTAACTGAGTTATGTCCAGTTCACTTTCTCTTTCTACCACCACCTTCCTAAGATGTGAGGAGTAACTTGTCACTGTCCTCCTCAGAAACCTGTTTCCCAGACCCTAAATAAACCCAAAAGTGGCTCAGCATTGCAGCTCCTCCTGGTCCTCCAAGAGTGGTCCTCCAACCAGCAGCAGCAGAGAGCATGTTAGGAATTTAAATACTTGAGGCCGCCTTGTACCCTCTGCTTTAACCAACCCAACAGGTGATCCAACGCAATCTAAAGGTTCATACCACTTTACATGTAATTTTCCTTCTCAACCTCACCTCCATTCTGCATTACCCCATGTGTCTTACATTTCTTGCCTTTCCAACCTGCTGCCTCCTGAAATCCATTTCTTCCAAGCTCAGTTCAAAGGTTACCCCTTTGTGAAGATGGGGAGAGGCCCCGCCTCTCCTCCTCATTTATTCCGTACCTCTTTGGTGCAGTTCACCCCCTTCTCTTCAGAGAAATCACGTTGCACACGTGTCTCCACCCACCCCCAGTAGACTGTGAGCTCCTTGCAGGAGGCTGGTTTCTGCATCCTCCACAACCTAAAACTGTGGCTTATAAAACAAGAACGCTCAGTAACTGTTTGTCAGAGTGAGAGGAAATCGTGATCGCAGGCTGTACCTTTAAGGGCAGATGCAAATGAATCCTAGACAGTGACTGCTTTGCTGAACAGGGCTAGTTGGTGTGGTTTCGGTATGACTCTCTGAGGCCCCCAAGAGCCACTGCATGGCGTTAAAGGGCAGCTACTCACTTTGCCTCCTGTACAGCCCATCCCTACCCCCCACGCAGGGTTATGTAGCCGTTTGTGCTACCATTTCCTTCCTGTGCTCTGCAGAAATGCTCTAACTTGGGTCTCATTTATCAACTCTGACGTTTACTACCATCTACTCATGCCGATTGTTCTCTCCTTCCTTTATGGTCACATAGTTCCTCGTTGTCCTTTATCTTCTCAGTGGCTTCTCCATATTTCCTAGCTTTGTAGTGAAGCGGGGTGGGTATCTGGGAGACAGTGTGAATGAGCTGTTGTTTTCCAGTTTGAGGTTCATCTTTCTTAAGAGTGTATTTTATTTCTTTTGCTCCATAGAAAGTCATAGTTAGGAGGACCTTCAATTTCATTATTTTACAAGAGAGGATACTGCAACTGGGGTGGAGATGTTGAGTGACACAGCCCACATTCTTTCTCATTAAACACCCATTTTATTTATAATTTTAGATCTGGAGCCCTTCTTGCAGATTAAGGGTTATGAACAATCCACTAGAGAACAATTAAGCACTTTCACTATCGCCCTTTGGGTGATAGAGACGAAATAAAGATGCAAATATTTTAGGGGATAATGTTAACATTTCGTGGTAGAATTTGCAACATAAATATTAAGTCAGCTTACCATGTACATCTGTCTACTCAGAATCCCAGGGAATACAAAAGACCCAGAAATTTTAATTTTTTTCTTTTTATGAACCTTGTCAATACTTTAATGCTGCCTGCTTTGTAACACCCATTTTCATTATTTTTATACTGTCTTACCTGAGAACATCATCATGTGTTGAAAATTCCAGCCAATCTTATGTCTTCTGCCCAAGTTGAGAAAGAAGGAGAGTGGGTAGATATGTGCAGCTCTGCCCAGAAAGATGGCAACCTGAGCACACGGTGGAGGTTAAGGTTTCAACAGGTTTCCAGAATGCCACCATCACAACCTCTGGTTGAACAGAGAATGTCAGGAATACCATGACATCTCATTATGATCAGGAGAATTGCACAAAGAAGCCAGGCTGTCTAGTTTCCCTCAAACAAGTGTCAAAAACAAGTTATATTCAATTGACCAACTTTCCCAACCTTCTGTCCCACTGAGGTCATTCCTAGCACATTAAATACACCATTGTAAATTCCTGGTTTAATTATGCTGCTATGATCAATACAGTCTATCTTAAAATGAGTCCAGAAATAAGCTAAGGTCCCATGGAAGGGGTGGGGAGCTGAGAGAGGCAAACAGTGTGTTGGGGTCTTTTGGAAGAAAAACCATAAGAAGAAAGACTTGCTAACCTCTGAGTCAAACTATGAAGACAAAGTTTGCTGGGTAAGCTCATAAGCTGTGGTTGGAAGTAAACACCAGGGCCCTGAATGACCCGGAAGATCTACTGACAAGGGGTGGGGAAACTTGAAGCATTCATAATCCTAAGACAGCTCTAGCTGGTTGCTCCGTGGTTAGAGTGTCAGCCCGCAGACTGAAAGGTCTCAGGTTCGATTCCAGTCAAGGGCTCGATCCCTGGCCCCAGTTGGGTTTAGGACACGTGCAGAAGGCAACCAATCCACGTGTCTCTCTCACTTCAATGCTTCCCTCTGTCCCTTCTACTCTCTAAAAATCAGAGGAAAAAATATCCTCGGATGAGGATTACCAAAAGAACAACAGAAAACCCCACATACTAAGACACCCTCATGTTCCTCACAAGAATCAACCTGGGAAGACTCTTCCACTTCGGTGGCTGAAATGTCTTCCAGAGATATGCGAAGTGGAAAACGAAGTGTGGAAGAGGAACTGTACTGCGGAAACCAAAGAATTCAGGGAAACCAGTCATTCGTCGCTTGCTGAATTTAGAACAGAGCCCAACAGAGAGCTCCACAGAGAGTGCACACAGCCCCCATCACAGAAGGAAAGCACCGTGGGAGCCAGAGGAACAGGGAGCTTCCGTTTCGGCAAAGCACCAGCTGCCACAGCTGCAGCTGTATCAGACACAAGCACGGGCAGAGCTATCTTCTGCCTTCCCCAGGGTAAAGCGCTGACTAAAAATTTTCTTCTTTTATCTTTCTTTTGTGTTTTGTTTTTAACAAAAGGGAAACAAGTCATGCTTATAAAGCCCATTCTACTCCAGAAGCCATGCAGAAGTCCTCCGTGGTAAGCAGCCTTCAGGATTCACAAAGGACCTGGCTGGCCCTCCTCCAGGGTCCTCATCTGTAAACAAGGGCTGGGCTCACACTATCTCTCACAGGATGCTGTGCTAGGAATACAAATCAAAATGGCATGCAAGGTCTTTCCTCATCAAGAAAAACAACACTGATCCCTCAGTATTCTAGCTGTTGGATTTTTAAAAAATATTCTTACTGATTTCAGAGAGGAAGGAAGACAGGGAGAGAGATAGAAACATCAATGGTGAGAGAGAATCATTGATTGGCTGCCTCCTGCACGCCCCCTACTGGGGATCAAGCCCGCAACCTGGGCATATGCCCTGATGGGGAATCAAACTGGGTCCTCCTGATTCATGGGTCAATGCTCAACCACTGAGCTACACAGGCTGGGCTAGCTGTTAGTTTTTTGACAGTCAATCCAAGAAATGAACCCCAATGGAAGCAGACAACACTCTGAGTGCAGGGATTCTAGTGTGGCATTAGACCAATGGTCGGCAAACTGTGGCTCTTTGGCCCCTTGAGTTTTTAGCAAAGGCCAGCTTAGGAATACCATAATTAAGTTAATAACAATGTACCTACCTATATAGTTGAAGTTTAAAAAACCTGACTCTCAAAAGAAATTTCAATCGTTGTACTGCTGATATTTGGTTCTGTTGACTAATGAGTTTGGCAGCCACTGCATTAGACCACCACCGCCATCTAGCTGCTTGCTGAGTATCACTTATTCCTGCACCAGAAATAAAAACTGAGAAGGAAAAAAAAGGGCTTTTTTTTTTTTTTTTTTTTTTTTTTTTTTTTACAGCATCCCAAGACCTAAGGATATCCATGAGACCTTGGAAAAAGCAAAAGCGAATGCCCAGCGATAGAGAACTCCTGCTCAGGATTGGAAAGTCCAGGCTGAGCTGGATTGCTACTGTTCCAACCTCAGAAAAGTTCATTTGAATCAAAACAGCAGGGTCTGAGGCCAAGCGAGAAAAGCCCTCAGCTGTTGATCTACTGCTGGGTAGTCACATCTCTCCTCACTTGACAGAAGCTACCTCTCAAAACCGTCTCTCTCTTCCAAAACAATCGCACTCCCAGTAGGACAAACTCAAGGAACCCAGTGTTTTTCCATTTGATTTTTCCTTCCTCTCCCTTTTCTCTTTCTGGGGAAAAAAGTCTTTTCCACGATGGTATGTTAAACTTGGGTAAAAGTGTGCTTATTGCCTTCAAGCTTCCCTGAGCTGCCATACCAGTGTGCAGTCAAGAGCAAGAGTAACAACCTTCAGGTTTTCCAAATGGGGAACTTCCCAGATCGGAATTCACTGGGCAAAGACATAAAGATAGTTCTGGGGACAGACTGGTTGCCTACTGTTCGGTCCACTAACAAGGGCTCTTTACAAAACAAACTGCTTCCTGCCAAGCACCAGTGTACCAGAAAGGCCATCTTACACAGAGAATGCAGAAACCCATGCCGGTCCGTTGGATCAAACATTCAGCTTTATGAACCTTGTAAGCTTTCTTTTCTCTCATCATAAAAATACCATGAACTCACACTGGCTCCGCCACCCACCCTACACAGAAATTATTACTATAGCTTCCTCAGCAATGGTGACATCTCTGTCTAGAAAATAGTGGATCGGGGTGGGGGGGGGGGGAGGAAAGGATACAAAAGCTCCAATGATGAAAATGGGGCTGAAAACGTGCTTCTGGAAGGTGAACAGCGCCAGGCCCATGTAGGAGAAGATGAAATTCTCTGCCAAGAAGTGTAACACCTCAAAGAGCTGCAGGGAGAGGGAAAGGAAGCATGAAACCCTCGGATCCTCTCCCCTTATAGTCACATAGAACTGGTGAGGTCCCAGGGCTCTGGCTCACCTGCTTCGTCCGACTTCTGGATTCCACCGACAGGTTGTTGTAGGTGTAATGGGCTTGTGTGATTCCACAGAAAAGGACAGCCACAACACCTAGCACGAGAGGTGTTATTTAAATTTTTTAAAAAGCAAAGGAACAAATACATATCTATCAACAAGTGAATCTGAAAGTCAAGTGGATTAAAAATCTGAGGAACAGAATAAACTGGTGAATATAATAGAATCAGGGGCATAGAATGGGAGGGAATTGATAATTCTCAGGGGGAAAGGGGTGTCTGTGTGGGGGGTTCGGGAAGAGACTGGACAAAAATCATATACCTATGGATGAGGACAGTGGGGGTGGGGGGAGGTAAGGGTAGAGGGTGGAGTGGGGACCAGGTGGAGGGGGGGAGAAACAATTGTAATAATCTGAACAATAAAGATTTACTTAAGAAAAAAAAGAATTCTTCCCTTCTGTCAAGCTCCCAGACACAGCGAGGGGAATGGTGGCCCGAGGGGAGAGAACACCCACCTGTGAACCCGCAGGCCTCTGCCAGGAGGAAGGTGCTCCAGGACATCAGGAAGAAGAGCGCTGTCTCCAGTAGGGGGAAGCAGTGCAGCTTGGTGAACTTGGTCACGTCAGCCTGCGTCAAGGAACGCATCACCGGAAACAAGTACCAGTGTCACCAAGAACCACATCCTATTAGCCCAGGGTGCTCTTCCTAAGGGCTGTCCTTTCCCCTCCACTCTTCTTTTGGGGTCCCACATGGGCTGCTTGCTTTTTAAAGGAATAGAAATCAAGCTTTCCAGTAGAAGAGAGATTACCAAGGGCTGAGAAAGGAGGAGGATGTTGCTTAAGGAGTACACAATTTCTGTTGGGAATGATGACAAAGTTCTGGAAGTAGATACTGGGGAGAGTTACCCAACACTGTGGTTGTACTTAATGCCACTGAAATGTACACTTAACGTGGTTAGAAGGGCACATTTTATGTTATATACATTTGACTACAATTTTTTAAAAATGAGTAATGTCAAATCCCAAACACCATCGAGTTGTACGCTTAAAAGGGTGAATTGCACAGTTTGAATTTTATCTCAGGAAAGCGGTTTTTGTTTTGAAATTAAGCTAAAGAAACTGGAAATGTGTTTTCTGTGCCCCTCACAATGCCTATGGTTCTGAAAGGCACAGTCATGGCCTGAGGTGTCTGTCAGGTTAGATCTGACAGCGGTGGGAGTGCCTAGGGATGGCTTGGGAAGATGAGGCTACAAGACCTTGACCTCTGCAAGACAGAGCTAAGCCTAGAGTTACACCACAAACATTTCCTCCTAACCTTAGCTAGGCACTCAACTGTCATATGTTTTTATTGATTTCACAGAGAGGAAGAGAGAGGGAGAAGACTATTGGAAGCATCAATGATGAGAGGGAATCATTGACCAGCTGCCTCCTGCATGCCCCACACTGGGGATCAAGCTCACAACCCGGGCATGTGCCCTGACTGGGAATTGAACCATGACTTCCTGGTTCATGGGTCAATGCTCAACCACTGAGCCACGCCAGCTGGGCCCAACTGTCATGTTTTACCAAAGTGACATTTCAGGAGCCCCCAAACCCCATCGGAACAATAGATTTAAGATTCATTTCTGGAAGGAGGAACTGACAACTTTCTTTTTGCAAGTGTAGTATATCACACAATCATGCCCAGGCAGGGGCAGAAAGTACAAAAAGGATATTAGAGCGGTCACAACGCCAGTCACAGCTCCCATGGTAAAAGAGCCACTAAATATACCTAGAAAAATGCCAACCGACTTGAAAAAGGCAGCAGCATCAAAGGCGTGAGTATTCAGCCCCGCTGGCTGGTAGGCAACAATAGACCTGGAGTTTGAAAAGAAGACAAAGTTTTCAAAGAGCTGGCTTTACACCGTGGTACCTCAAACATCAACAAACATAGGTAGCAACAGTCCGCCAGGCACTCCCTATGGTGTCTTCATTGAACTTAGTCTGCAGTCACCATGCTCCACGGGTACAGCACTCTGATTGCTGACGACTGGACAAAGTGATATGACATTATCAATGAAGCTGAGAACCCTCCTTTAGAAAAACACCCAATTCAATCATCGAACACTTTGAAGACAGGCCTCTGAGCATTCAGGAAGCCAATCTCTTCCCCGGGCAGACACAGCATTACTTACGAGGACAGCACGATGGCAACGGCATCATTGAGGACGCTTTCTCCAAACAGAAGTGCATAGAGGTCCACATCGGCATGTAACTCATTAAATATCGCCAGCACAGTCACTAAAAAGTGAGCAAAAGCACATCTGTTAACTTCTGCCTCTAACCTTAAGCCATCGATGACAAGTTTATAGAAGCAATTTTTTTTAATATATTTTATTGATTTTTTACAGAGAGAAAGAGAGAGGGATAGAGAGTTAGAAACATCGATAAGAGAGAATCATCGATCAGCTGCCTCCTGCACTCCCTCTACTGGGGATGTGCCCGCAACCAAGGTACATGCCCTTGACCGGAATCGAACCTGGGACCTTTCAGTCCACAGGCCGACGCTCTATCCACTGAGCCAAACCAGTTTCAGCTATAGAAGCAATTCTTATGTTCGGTGGGACAGGGAAGTTTGGAATCACAGGTGCGTTGTCTGTCTCTGGAAGAAGTGAGAATGGCAAGCTTCCTAATCAGGATGAGTTGTGCAATGATGCTAGGTTATCATAACACCGCACTGAAACACTGCCCTTTCCTCTGGAATCCATCAGACTTTGAAACAATCTCTATCACAGAATTTTAAAACACATAATCACAATTGCCCGGCCAGCGTGGCTCAGTGGTTGTGCATTGACCTATGAACCAGGAGGTCAGGGTTTGATTCCCAGTCAGGGCACATGCCTGGGTTATGGGCTCGATCCCCAGTAAGGGTCATGCAGGAGGGAGGCGATCTATGATTCACTCTTATCATTGATGTTCCTCTCTTTCCCTCTCCCTTCCTCTCTGAAATCAATAAAAATATATTTTAAAAAATACATAATCACAATGAGTATGATTCGGCTCTACCATTGAGCAGGAACCCAATGTTATTGACCACTGTGCTCCCAGAGCCCAGCAGAGGGTCAAAGAGCAAGAGAAGGATGTAATGATGGTTTTTAAAATAAGTCTTTGTTTAGGACAGACTAATTACACTTCTCATAGTCTCCATGTTTTTTAAGTGTTTAAAAATCAGTCTCCAGACCAGCAGTTCTCCAGCTTTTGGCTTCAGTATACCTTCACACTCTAAAAAGTCACTGAGGTCCCAAAAGAGCTTTAGTTTTCTAAGCTACCAATATATACTGCATTGAGCAAAGCAGAAAAAATGTATTCATTCAAAATTACTGCTAATAATAAACCTATTATATGATTACATATTTTAATAGAAAGTATATTTTTCAAAGCAAAAAAAAAATAGTGAGAAGAGAGCCGTTTTTTATATTTTTTTCACAGCTTTTAAAATCTTGATTAATGTAAGGCAGATGGTTCTTATCTCTGTTTCTGCATTTGATCAAAAGATAGTCAATATCACATGTTTTACAGCCTCAGGAAAACCCCAATTCACTGTATACTTATTAAAGAATTAAAGTTAACATGACTAAAAATGTATCACTATTATTATTAAACTAGAGGCCCGGTGCATGAAATTCTTGCATGGGTAGGGTCCCTAGGCCTGGCCTGTGATCAGGGTCGATCAGCACCTTCTGGCTGCCGGCTGGGGCCTTCCTTCATTCCACGCCGCCCCCTGGTGGTCAGCACACAACATAGTGAATGATCAAACTCCCAGTCTCCCAGTTGAACTCCCCAGGAGACACTTTGCATATTAGCCTTTTATAGATAGATAGATGATAGATAGATGATAGATAGATGATAGATAGATAGATAGATAGATAGATAGATAGATAGATAGATAGAGATAGATCAGTGTTGATCTTAAGGGGTTTGGACTTTCTCAACTTTGGTTCCATTGACATTTTGCACTAGAACATTTTTTGTTGTGGGGGGCTGCCTTGTGCATTGTGGGACATTTAACAGCATCCCTGGCCTCTCCACTCAGGATAGAGTAGCACTGTGCATTGAGCATCTGGATGCCTGATTGTAGTAGGAGCCTGGGCACCAGCTCAGGACTATTAGCCAAGATAAACAGCTATTTGTTTAAGCTGGTATTGCCAGGTTTCTCTGTTATTTGCAGCCAAAAGCATTACAAACTGATGCAAGTAGAAAAAATAAACCAAACAAATGTCTAGATTAGTGAATTATAAGCCAACTACTCATGTAACCATCCTCTCATTCAAGAAATTGAACTTAGCCAGCTCCACAGAACTCTCCCGTATGCTCCATCCTAATCTTAAACTCTTCCTTCACTCAAAGGTAACCATTAACCTGATTTTACAATAATCGCTTCCTTTCGTTTCCTTATAGTTTGACAACCCAATGTATATTCCCTGACACTATCGTTTGGTTTTGCCCATTTTAAAATTTATTTTTTAAAAGATGTATTTTTTAAACATCTCCTTCACTTCATGGGTCCCCCCTCCATTCCTTTTGGCTGACTCTCTTTTCATGATGTCCTCTCATTTTTAAATTTTCTAATCATGGTATACACAGTTCTTTCATAGTTTCTATCATTTTTTAAAAATTTCCTTTAGGTTCCGTTGAAATAGTAATAAAGTGTTGTCTGCTTTGGGACCCTTTTTTTTTGGTATGACTCCACTTTCTATAACTTTACTATTCAGAATGATCAACTGCATTTTTCTTATAATAAGTTTTCATGAAGCTCAACCTCAATCCATTTCTGCACCTCATATTAAGTCAGGGGTAGAAGGCCCAGAGGAGATTTCCTTGTTTCATGGCTCTGGGGCTCCCTCTTCTGGTTTTACATTGAAGAATTAAAAACATGGCCTTAGGGTGTAGCCACATCCCCAGTACTGCTCTCCTTCTCCGCTAGTATCTTAGCTTTCTTTCTCCTTCAAAGACCCATCAATTAAGGTCCATGGTCCTAGCAGTTCATGTATAGGGAGTGGCTTCCAGATAGAACTTCCCTGGGTATTTTCTGAGAGCCCTGGGAGCCCAGGCCCTCCAGAAGTCGCACGCCTCCTCTAGTCTCCTTGACGGCACCCACCAACTGAAGCCTGTCCCTCCCAGTTTTATTGTTGTTCTTTAATATGCCTATGAAAGTTGTTTACTCCCAGTGGGAACTTCTCATTTTGAGTGTGAATACTTGTGGGAAATCTCTGGGTTCCCTGACAGTTAAATAACCAGCAACCCCTTCTTCTCCCCTCTACTTCCTCAGCACAGTTGGTGCTTCTAGTTCTAAGTCTCACTGCTCCTGGTGGTTTTACCCCACCAATGGATAGTGGTTAATTCATGAGGCTACTCTGTCAGGTAGTTGTGCAATGAGGGTACACACATCCAGTCTGTTAAAGGTTTGACTAGAACAAAAAGACGGTAATAAAGAACTGAATCATCTCTCTGCCTGGCTGTCTTTCAGCTGGGACATCAGTCTCCTCCAACTTTTAGACTTGGACTGGAACTATAGCATTGGCTTTCCTGGTTCTTAGGATTTAGGACTGCTGATATTGGGACTTCTCAGCCTCCATAATTGCATGAGCTAGTTCTTTATAATTTCTCAATTTCAATCTCTCTCTCTCTCTCTCTCTCTCTCTCTCTCTCTCTCTCTCTCTCTCTCACACACACACACACACACACACACACACACGCACACAAACACCGCATACATCTCCTATTTGTTCTGTTTGCCTGAAAAACCTCAACTAATACAAAACTCTACTAGCTTATCATTATAGTTGATCCTTAAACAACATGGGGGTTGTGATGCTGATCCCCTTGCACAGTCAAATTCCATTTAATTTTTGTCTCCCTAAAAACTTAGTTTTCCCTCAGTATTCATGCAGCATTGGTTCTAAGACCCCCTGTGGATATCCAAATCCAAAGATGCTCAAATCCCCCATATGAAATGGGGTAGCTCAATGTCTTCCACATCAGCAAACTCCCAACTGTGGACTGAAAACAGTACAAGTATTTATTGGAAAAAACCACATGTAAGTGGACCTATGCAGTTCAAACCTGTGTTGTTCCAGGGCCAACTGTATATAACAAAAGAATTGTCTTGCTTTTAACCCAATGTTAAAGAAAGGTTAACAACGATAACAATTATTATGGATTCACCATGAAGCAGGCACTGTGCTAAACATTTGACTATCTCACTTAGTTCTCATAAAAGCCTGTGGGTAGCACTATCATTTCCCCCAACTTAGAGAAAATAAACCAGGCCTTGTATAATGGGCCACCTTCTACTGCAATATCAAAATTTCTAAGCTTGGCCAGTGTTGCTCAGTGGTTGGCCATCGACCCATGAACCAGGAAGGTCACAGTTCAATTCCCAGTCAGGGCACATGCCCAGGTTGTGGGCTCAGTCCCAAGTAGGGGTCATGCAGGAGGCAGCCGATCAATGATTCTCTCTCATCATTGATGTTTCTCTCTCTCCCTCACCCTTCCTCTTTGAAATTAATTAAAAACACATATTTTTAAAAAATTTCCTAAAACCTCAGCAATTGAACCCAAGAATAGTTTTATCCATTATTCATACAACATGTCCACTGAGTGTTGGCACTGGAGACCTCTGTTCACATCAGTCACTCAGGGACTCAAGACTGATGGAGGTTAATCTCCACAAACAAACGCAGGGCTAACAGCCCAGGAGACCTGGGTCCCAGGACTTTATGAGTCAGGGTCCTGGCAGGAAACAGATGGCACACCCTCAAATTGAGCAATGTGAGGAGTGTTTAATAAGGGATTATTTATAGAAGTGTGGGGAAAGTACAGGAAAGCCACAAGGGAGAGGGCAGTTCTTGAGGCTAAAACAGGGAGCTTTATAGCATCATTAGGCTGAAAGGGACCAGAGAAGGAGTGATTGTCAAAACCAGGAACTCCACAGAGATGGTCACCTGACAGAAGCTATGACCTGACAGAGGCATCCAACACAGCCACCAATAGCTATGAAAACTTAGCACACAGCAAAGTCTAAAGATTTTAGCCAAGTGAGGATTTGAACTACATGATTTTCGAAAGCTCTTCTGCATATAAATACTATTTTCCTGGCCGAGACCGGTTTGGCTCAATGGATAGAGCGTCGGCTTGGGGACTGAAGGGTCCTGGGTTCAATTCCGGTCAAGGGCATGTACCTTGGTTGCGGACATATCCCCAGTGGGGGGTGTGCAAGAGGCAGCTGATCGATGACTCTCTCATTGATGTTTCTAACTCTCTATCTCTCTCCCTGTCTCTCTGTATAAAATCAATAAAAAAATATTTTAAATACTATTTTCCTGAAATACTACAGTTACCAGTAGTTAAAAAAATATAGTTAACTCATATATCCATGACAATGAAGGCTAGCTTGCATAATTAATAACAATTAACATTTATATAGCACTGATCTGAATCTGACTGCTCTGAATTGATTTCTCATTCTTCCCACCAATCACCTTATAAAACAGGATAGAGCCTGGCCAGTGTGGGTCAGTGGTTGTGTGTTGACCCATGAAGCAAGAGGTCACAGGATCCATTATCTGTCAGGGACACATGCCTGGGCTGTGGGCTCGATCCCCAATAGGGGACGTGTGTAGGAGGCAGCCGATCAATAATTCTCTCTCATCATGGATGTTTCTATCTCTCTATCAGTCTCCCTTCCTCTCTCTCTAAAATCAATAAAAACATATTTTTAAAATATATTTTATTGATTTTTTTTACAGAGTCGAAGGGAGAGGGATAGAAAGTTAGAAACATGGATGAGAGAGAAACATCAATCAGCTGCCTCCTGAACAGCCCCCACTGGGGATGTGCCCTCAACCAAGATACATGCCCTTGATAGGAATCGAACCTGGGACCCTCCAGTCCACAGGCTGACGCTCTATCCACTGAGCCAAACCAGTCAGAGCAAAAACACACTTTTATTTTTTAAATATATTTTATTGATTTTTTACAGAAAGGAAAGGAAAGGGATAGTCAGAAACATCGATCAGCTGCCTCCTACACACTCCTCACTGGGGATGTGCCCGCAACCAAGGTACATGCCCTTGACCGAATCGAACCTGGGACCATTGAGTCCGCAGGCTGATGCTCTATCCACTGACCTAAACAGGTCAGGGCTAAAAAAACAAACAAACAAACAAACAAACAAACCACACATATTTTTAAAAGAGAGAAGAAAAAAAAAAGGACAGGAACTCTGCCAATCTCCCCCCCTCCCTCCCCTGCCCCACAGGTAAGGCTGGGCCCAGCCAATATTAGGAATATGAGTGCTAACACCAGAAAGATGAGGGGGGATGGAAGACTGGGTAAGTGACTTCTAAAATGGGGAGTAAACAGACTCTTCCACCCCCAGCAGGACCATTGGAATCAGAGAACAGGGTCACATCAGCCATTTCCAATTGGATAAGAACAGAGAAATTACAATGAACTGACTGCTGACTGCTGGTACAGCTATCTAAAAAGCACTGGGGGAAAATAATAAAATAGCAGATAGAGGAAGAAGGAAATATTAAGAGTCTTAATTTGTTCATTCAACAAACTTTCCCTGAACACTTCATCTGTGTTCTAAAGAGCACTTAGCACTTGCGAACATTCAGTACAGAGAGGTAAGTATTGTGTACAAAGTACACAATAAAGTTACTTGCTGTGGGAGCAAGTAACTGAGAGAGTGAGGGAAGAAGAATTAGGCAGGTGGCATATTTGAACTGAGTCAAAAGGAATGAACGAAATACTGACCAGCCCTGGCTGCTTTGGGTCAGTGGATACAGCATCAGCCAGTGGACTATAGGGTCCCAGGTTCAATTCTGGTCAAGGGCACATGCCCAGGTTGCGAGCTCCATCCCCAGTTGGGGGAGTGCAGGAGGCAGCCAATCAATGACTCTCTCTCACCATTGATGTTTCTATCTCTCTCTCCCTCTCTTTTCCTCTCTGAAATCAATAAAAATATACTTTAAAAAAGAAATACTGACCAGCCTGAGGGATGCCACTAGAGAATTACACTTTGACAACACCAATCATAGATTTTTGAAACCTGTGAGTAGGCTTGATTGACTCGAAGGGTATAAAAGTGACAGAATTAAAATGAGAGGAGTCACTTCATAGGAAGGACTAACATTCATTTTCTTTGGAAGCTGCCTAAGAATACACTATGGATTGGAAATTTCATTTTCTTTCCTGAATTGTGGATCCATCTAAAGTAGCAGTCCACAAAGATGGCATATGGCATCCACGACACATAACCACAGAATGGAGAGGGCTCCTGGTCACAGAGCAACTTCCACCATTCCACACATGTGGTATCCTCTTCAACAGGAAGACCAAAGACTGCTGCTATTATTTTCTACCAAAGACACAAACAAGAGTGCTTCAACCAACCAACTCTTCAATATAGTGTTTGGAATCAAATATGGTGATAAGAGAGTCAATGGTTGGGGAGCGTTGAGATTTTTTAGAACCACATAACTGTCTAGAACTGTGCTACCCACGTGTGGCTATTTAAATTTAAATTACTTAACAAAATAAAATTTAAAATTCAGTTCTTCAATTGCACTATCACATTTCAAAAAGCCACATGTGACTACTGGCTACCACAATGGACTGGGAAGGTCACACAAAGGTCCATGGGAGACCACTGATCTAGAGGACCCCCAAGAGGCACGGTAAAGTAGGAGGGAAATTTAGTATCTTTAAGATCATTACTGTCCAGAATGTGAGAGGACATAGTAGACCTTTCTATCCCCACTATTAGGACAGGATCAGCTTTTCCTCCGAAATTTCTTTCCCTAAAGTGTACCCTCAATAGTTGACATTCAAGGAAGAAATAGCTGTAACTATTTTATGCAAACTGATTTAATTATGGGTTCTGACTTGGAGAAGAGGGGTTGTCTTGTTTTATTCTGCTTGTTTGTTTTTGAACTGCAGGGGAGGAAAGACTTATAATAAGAACTGGTATAACTCGTACAAATTGGTTCAACTAATTCTAGACTTGAAAAATACAAGGTGAGAAATTTATGTATAAGAACTATATCACCATGTGAAGTCATGCAGGAACACTGCACGAAAGGAGTTTACAAATTAAATTACATTCACTACAGGTATCGTGTACATTTCACTAAGAATAACTGTTATTTAAACCAAATGACATGTTTCCTGAAAGGCAAAACCACAGCACTGAAAAAGAAGGCAGTCTATGTGTAAAAATTATGAACAAATTGGACATTCTCAAATGAAAGACAAAAAGTTCATACAGGTGAAAGCAATCTAAGTGTCCATTGGCAGATGGAGGGCTAAACAAAATGTGGTATATCCATAAAATGGGATATTATTTGAGCTTTAAAAGGAAAATCTGGTACATGCTATAACACGGATGAACCTTGAAAAAGTTATGAGTAGTAAAATAAGCCAGTTTTCAAAAAGACAAATACTGCATGCTTCCACATATATTAGGCCTTTAGAGTAGTCAGACTCACAGAAACAGAAAGTAGAATGGTGATTTGTCAGGGACTGGGGGATGGGAAAATGGAGAGTTGTTTAATAGGAAGTGTTGAGTTTCAGTTTTACAAGATGAGAAAGTTCTGGAGGTTGGTTAGATAACAATGTGAATACACTTAACACTACTGACTTGTACAATTAAAAATAGTTAAAGTGGTATATTTTGTTCTATGCTTTATCACAATTAATTATAATAATAATAATAGGGAAAAGTCATCTCTGTTAGACCACTTAGTGGTCTCTTTCTCCACCATTCCACGTTAATACTACAGTCTCCCTACTGCAACAAAAGTTCATGATCACTCTGAACTTTTTAAGATTTAAATAATGAGATGTCATAATGAAAATGGCAAATATGCAAATACCTGGGTCAGTGGCGGAGATAATTGCTCCAAAAAAGAGACAGTCCGTGTAGTAAAATTTATCCGAAAGCTGTCCCACCATCTTCATGAGCTTCACCACACCATACATGAGATTTCTGTAAGGAGGGAAGACACACTATGTCAGAGAGAAAATTAAAGAGAACTCTCCTAAATGAGTAACCGAGCAAATATGCAAGCAGAGTAGTACTAGAATATTGTACTTCAAGAGAGAGTCATGAAAACATCAGGCAGCTGCTGTGGTTGGACACTTACCAGGAACATGTGCAATACGACTTTGGCACCAAGTAATTGTTTGCAGTTAATGTCATCTTGCTGAAACATCTGAACATCCCATTTTTTTTAAAGTTGTGCTTATTTACAACTATAAAGTATGCTCCTCAATTAGCAACAAAGGCATCTTAAGCAATTGAGTAACAGAGAAGAAAGAGAAAGAACCCTGCATAATGTGTAATAAATTGCCACAAAACTCACAGGACTCTAAGATAGTGTGTTTAAAGTCATGGAAATGAGTGGACTGGATGAAGCTGGAGAGGGGGGAAAAATGAGTTAGCTACAAAGATTCAAGTGATCAATCTTTCCTGCCAAGAATTATTTCAAAGAAGGGGAAAGAGGCAAAACTCTCTAAAGATCCAATTAAAATATCAGTGTACCCACTGGCATATCTAGCATCCCATTCGTTGCATGGGTTTGGCAGGCCAGCAAGAGCCTCCTTATGCTACAGAATGTGCGGCCCAAGAGGGACCACCAAGGTCAGTATTACAATTTCCTACAGGATAGCTTACAAATTAGGATGAGTGAAGAGTGTTAAAAGGCTTAGTACATTTCTCTCTCTCTCTCTCTCTCTCTCTCTCTCTCTCTCTCTCTCTCTCTGTGTGTGTGTGTGTGTGTGTGTGTGTGTGTGTGTGTGTGTGCGCGCGCGCGCACGCGCACGGCACAGCAGCTGCAGGAGATATGTGAATAAAAATAACCACAGAATAGATTCATTGTACTACACAGCCAATCTCTGATAATAAAATTCTTGATAGTCAGAACCATGCCCTTGCTTGCCTTTGTATCCTGGGTGTCTAGAACAAGTAGATTGACTGAGCTGGGAGCTCAAGAACTACTTGCAGAATTAAATCCCTTTGAGAATAAGTAACTTAGTGTTTGCTTACTGTGTGCCAGGACTGTTCCAGAAACTTGAACAGTTCTATTTCAACTTATAATAACTCTATGATACAGACTGGATTTGCCCTTTGTTGCTTACCAAAGACTTCCTTCATCAACTCTTTCAATATTTCCCGATACCACACCTTTCTCTTGATTTCCTTCTACCACAAGCTTAGACATGGTTACTAGACTTCTCTGCAGTTTTTTCTCCATCTTGACCCCCATCATCACCAATGTTTGTTCTCTGAGCACTTCCTTATTTTGTGGCATTATAAGATTCTTGAGCCGAAACCAGTTTGGCTCAGTGGACAGAGCATTGGCCTGCGGACTGGAAGGTCCCAGTTCGATTCCGGTCAAGGGCATGTACCTTGGTTGCAGGCACATCCCCGGTAGGGGGTGTGCAAGAGGCAGCTGATCGATGATTCTCTCTCATCGATGTTTCTGACTCTCTGTCCCTCTCCCTTCCTCTCTGTAAAAAAATCAATAAAATATATATTTTTAAAAATATATTCTCCATTCTTCTCTTGGATATATGCTGCCCCAGCCCTAAAATAAGCCATTTCTCCAAAGGGCCCTGGTTCTTTTTATTGGAGAATGATATTAGAAACCAAGATTTGGGGACTAGGTATAATTTTATTTCATTTTAATTAATCTCAATTTGAATAGCCACATTTGGCTAATAGCTACTACACTGGAAATGTAGCTTTAGACCTTATATGCCAGCAGCCATGTGGTGAGGAAATGGGGCGATGTTGCTCAAGGGTACAAACTTCCAGTAATAAAATGAACAATTTTTGGGATCAAATGGTGATTATAGCTAATAACGCTATAACATATACTTGAATGTTGATAAGAGAGGAGGCCTCAAATGTTCTCACCACAGAGAAAGGTAGCTGTGGCAGGATGGAGGTATTAGCTAATGCCACACTGGTAATCATTTTGCAATTTATAAATGCATGAAATCAACACCTTGTACATCTTAAACTTACACAATGTTATGTGTCAACTGTATCTCAATAAAGCTGGGGGGAAAGACTGGATTCTGTGGACCTGCGTAGAACTCATCACTTTAGAAAATGGGTTCATTAGGTTACATGGCAAGAGTCCCTTACCCGATAATGAAGCAGGAAACAGCAGTCCCCAAAAAGGCATAGGCCAGAATAGACCCAAGATTTCTGAAAAAGTGTCTCTGAATAAAACAGAAAGGCAGGAATCACATTGTGATTTTTGACAGTGAGCATTAGAAACACATTAAAAGTCTTAAAAAAGTGAAACTTTACTTATTGCTTCCGTTATACCAAGTCATAATGGAAATTACTCCTGAATTTGCCCTTGAACATCATGGTTTTAAAATATCCTTTGTCTTCAAACACTGATTAAGCAAGCAACATCTTAGTAAATTTCAGACAAAACCACTACAACTAATTATATTAAATTACATTAAGTGTGTGGGTGTGTGGGTGTGTGGGTGTGGGTGTGTGTGTGGGTGTGTGTGTATAAGTAGACCAATTGTTTTAATAGATTTAACCCAAACAATTTTACTCTAATGATTCAGTTAGTCACTTCCAGTTATGGTGGAACCTTAGAAGATCATTGCAGATATACGTTTGAAACTAATAAAGCATGAAAGTGCCCCCTAAGGAGCTTCCTGCTTAATTCAGTATCAGAAAACAATGTCCTAAGTATCAGCTCATGGCACTTGTGGTGTCTCCTGATATTCATCTGGATTAATCTTTAGAGCCTAGAAAAGGTAGATGTGAAGAAATGAGAAACAACTAATTCCAGTTAAGATGGGCAAGTTTTTGCTCTAGCCAGTTTTCTCAGTGGTTAGAAACTCAGCCCATAAACTGAAGGGTCACAACTCCAATTCTGGTCAAGAACAGGTACCTCAGTTACAGGTTCCATCCCTGGCCCCAGTCTAGGCGTGTGAGGGAGGCAACCAATGGATATGTCTCTCTTATATCAATGTTTCTCTGTCTCTCTCCCTCTCTTCAAAAAATATCTAGGAGTGAGGATTTTTTTAAAAAGGATGGCAAGTTTATAGATATGTTCATATAGTTACATGGGTGCAAGATATAGCAATTATTCAGAAAGGGGTAGCAAAACTATAATTCTCTTAATGCCTCTGAACATTTATTGGCTTTCTTAAAACACACACACACACAAACACACACACACACACACACACACACACACACACACACACACACATTTACTTCTCATTAAGCCTGTGGAATATTCTGATGGGGAAAATCGATGTTCTTGTGATCCTGAGCCATGGTTCTTACTCCTCAAGGCATAAATTAATTTCTTTGGACAATCAGAACTATTTAACAAAAACATATGAACAGAATCCCCCAAACACCCTAAGTAAACAGGGGCCAGGAGCACTTTATCTTAAAATGTAAAGAGGCAGGAGAGGCCCAGCATGACAGCTGAGCAACATCAGAGACAGACTGGTCTGGATCAAGCAGCCACCATGAAGTATGACCAGACAAAGGGCTGCGGGCATCCCCTGGCCTGTATTCCAGACAGAGGATCTGAGAACTTGGCTTTGGCCTTCCCCAATGCTTGCCTCTCTTGAGGCAGAAGAAGGTGTCTAAGAATGCCTACTCTCCTTAAACCACTGCTCAGAAGAGAAGCCTTCAAAGACTTGCCATACCATAGTGACCAAATGAGGGTGCTGCCTACATATATGATGGGCACATGATGTTTGCCTCTTAAACCAGTCATTTTATTGCATGGGGAGATTCATGTAAGCACTGTTGCCATCAAAACACAGAACTGTTATATCATCAGAAAAATCTCCCTCATGCTCTCCCTTCATAGTCACACACACATCCCCTCTCACTCCCACACCCCTAAACCCTGGAAACCACTAATCTGTTCTCCATCCCTATAATTTTGTTATTTCTAGAATTCTAGAGAAATGATATCATACAGTATGTGGCCTTTCGTGATTGGATTTTTTTTTTCACTCAGCACAATGCCTTTGAGATCCATACAGAGTGCTGTATGGATCAATAGATTGTTGCATTTTATTGGTACGTAGTATTCCATGGCATGGATGGTCATTTAACCATTCCCTTATTGAGGGCATTTCAGTTGTTTCCAGTTTAAGGTTATTACAAATAAAGTTGCTATGAATAATCACACACAGGTTTTTGTATGAACGTAAGATTTCATTTCTCTTGGCTAAATCCTCAGGAATAAAATTGCTGGGTCATATGGGAATTTCAACTTTAGTTTTATAAGAAACCATGGAACTATTTTTCAGAATGGCTGCGCCATTTTCCATTCCCACTGGCAATGTATGAGAGTTCCAGATTTTAAAACGAAAATGAATCACTGGTGATGAGTCAACTATAGTCCCTGAGTGGGTACAGAACATGGTAATAAGCAATCTAGGAGAAGTAAAAAACTAGAAAATTATGCAGGTAAATTAACACAGAAATCCCCATACTTTAAGAAATACTTAAAGAAAAAGAAAAAATCAGGCTCCTTAGATAATTTAAAGCCTTTCTACCTCTCAAGAGAAACTAAAACTTAAAACCAAGCAATGGTATTATTAAAAGGTCAACCAGCAAGAAATCTGCTTGTCATGGGAATTCTTTCCATAGTTTCCATGAAGTTATTGGTACAGGTAGACCAGATCTACTATGTGGCATTACCTTATATACCACACACACATGTACTATTATGAGCAATAGTTTGGAATGTGTTTACAGTATGGCATATTTCATTTTTCAACTATACAAACTGTTGCTTTTATGATAATTTGCCCCAAGAATGTCATTATGTTTTTATATGTGGATAACTTATGACTATTTTTAAGCTTGAAAATAAATCCTCGCAAAAATCTCTTACCTTCTTCAAACTGTATCCAGCATGGAAAATAATTGGAGGCAGCAGAATGTTGAAAAAGACCTCTGGGTCAAATGTTACCTAAAAGTTTTAAAAGAAAAAAGCTCATTTTTAGTTTAATGCCAATTGGTGCTATGATATTTGCTTAATATTTTAAGCCATTGGCTAAAGTGTCAATATTTAAAGCACATGACATAAATGTGAAAAAGCATGAGCTCATCACAGCTCCCCTGTGGGCTGGCATGTTCTTTTCCACATAGAACTTCTGCTTTCTACTCTTGCTCTGCTGTTTAATACATATTAATATACGACAGTACAGTGCAATTTTTGAGACCTCATACCAAACCTTTGGTCAATGTTTTCAAACAAGAAATAAAACATCTTGATTTTTATCAAACCTTTATGAAGGCTCGACTGCAATAAAAGATGCAGTCATAATTCTTATTAATTTTCTGGATCCTCTCACAGAATCATTTATAGACATCATTCTACCAAATTTAAGTCTCTTTTGAGTGGCCAGCCTTCTGTGACACATGATGTGGCCTAGATAAAAGTCTCCAGTGATGCTAATGGCTCCCTAAACATCAACATAAATTCAGCACTTCTAAGGGGACTAAAATTAACTGTAGGTTTGATACAGGAAAGTTATTGTGAAATTATTAGACATCAAAGTCTTATCACACCCAGAAAACATAACCATTCTATAAACCTCCTAACTCTTTAAAAATTTGGTCATTTTACTGGTAGTAGATTATTTGGCACTTATTTTAATTAATTATTAAACCTTCATTAGAATTATTAAAACCAAAGTTAGCATTTCTCTTTAGAAATGAGTAATGTTAACCAGTCTAATTAAAAACAGAATGGTTCTCTCAAAATTATGTTTTATTCTATCTTCTTGCTGAAGGTAAGAGTAGTCTGAAAAGCAGGGTCTGTCCAAATGAGAAGGGAATTTGGACAATACCTATGCAATATGAGGATACTGGGGCCAAAGAGAGTGGAACTTGCTGGAAGTCACCACACCAAGTAATGCATGAAGCAGCGCAAGAATTTCTTCCCACACCGTCCCACGCATGCTTAGGAAGGGTTGAAAGAAAAGAGCTCACTAGAACTGCCATTTTGGACAAGGAGAAGATGGGCATATTGAATGCTCCAGGTTGAGAATAATTTTCTTTAAGGATTAGGATAGATCTTGAGATCAATAACAATTTAATTTTTGGAGCACAGGCTATGCTCTGTCTTTGACTGCAAGCCTTCACACACATTAGCCTTAATCCATATTAAAAGGGGCTTCCACAAGTTAGATCCCCCAGACTTTACCCAAAAGCCTTCCTGCTGATAAGCCTGGGTCTATAAGGTACTAGAATATATGAGGATAAATACAAATCTTTTGCTTATGCTGGAAATCACCCAAGTAAGGAGATACAGAATCCTTTTTCCTGTGGAGTATTTTAGCTACCACCAACATCAAATGAAAACCAATGCTTGGATTCAAATTCTAGATAAGAAATAGCCTACCTCTGAAGAATAGGCCATTGGCATCAACCACCAAGGAGAGGGAATTCTCAGTCAATATTTATAGAATATGGCCAAAGAATCATAAAGAATTATACTTCTGAATTCTGAATAAACAAGCTGAAAATGAAACTAATCTTAAGAAAGAAATAACCTCATCTCTAAACCATAATAACAGACATAGTTAAGAAAAGATGAGGATTAAAGAGACAAGCTGAATGGGGATATACAAACCCACAGCACCATCAGAGGCCCAAGTCAGCTACTGACCCTAGCAAAGCTGAAAGACTCAAGTTCAAATATGGCTCCTTCTTCTCTTCATTATAACCCAAAAGCTTCCCAGGAAAACGGAGAGGCAGAATGCTACCTGTGCTCCTGGAGGTTAAAAGGGTTTCTCTCCATAAGATCAAGACAAAACTGGAAGTCAAAAACCATGCCAGACAACAGCCACTGAGTGTCCCCAGCTCACCTTCCTCAGCATGTCATTCTGCTCTACACTGTTGAGCTTGCCAGGGCTGATTTCTCCTTTCAGGGTGTATTCAAAGAACTTCCCGCTGACGTTGACTAATAACGTGCTGAAGGCCCTGTCTTCCTGCGTGCAGCTGAGTGACTTGTTATGGCCACTGGTGGCAGGGGTGCCGTACCTCAGGATCACCCCGACGATGAGCCCTGAAACAGAGTGGGGGAGAGGGGAAACACATGAGGCCCGTGAAAGGATAGAGAATGCATGGAAATAACGGCATGAATGATTTACAACAACTAAGAAACTCAGAAATCACCTTAAAGCTCAGGTACAGGGTATGTATTTTAGAAGCAACTGCACAATCCTTTAAAAGGGCTAACCATCCCTCAGCCACCAGGAAGACAAGGTAGGATGGTATCTTTCATGGTTATGATGGTGCTGAGTACCTTTTAACAACTGTTTGATCGCATCTCACTTCTCAGGCTTCTAGTGAAGGAAGATGGGATAATAAGAAGCAATTTTTTTTTCTGCCGAGGGTAGAACCTCTGAGCTCTCTGATTTGCACCAGCAACAGCCCTCAGGCCAGTCCTGCCGCCATCTGCCAACAAGGACCAGGCTGCACTGTAGGAATTTCTAGTTGTAACAAATGCAGTCTGCTTTGCCACATGCCAGAGGGAGAAGATGAAAAGAGCTGTTTTGTTTAGGTCATTGAAAGGACTGGGTATCATGGAAAAAGTAATTACATCCCTTGGGAAGCTAAACACCACAGTGTACATTTTTGCAGTTATGATCCAGGGACTGTGCAGCCAACTTCCAGGGCCTGTGGCTATGATATGGATAAAATAATTACCTACAAGTTCTCTTTTCTAAAAAAAAAAAAAAAATTATATTTTCACTGATTTCAGAGAGTAAGGAAGAGGGAGAGAGAGAGAGAAACATCCACAATGAGAGAGAATCATATTTCAGAAAGTAAGGAAGAGGGAGAGAGAGATAGAAACATCCACCATGAGAGAGAATCATGGGTCAGCTGCCTCCTGCAAGTTTCCGGCTGGGGATCAAGCCCACAGCTTGGGCATGTGTCCTTGACCGGAATTGAACCTGGGACCTTTTAGTTTGTAGGCTAAGGCTCTATCCACTGAGCAAATCGGCTAGGGCTACCTACAAGTTTTTAAGTCTCATTTCTCCTTAGTAAGGTTTTTCCATTAGGAATTTTCATACACACAGACATCCCAATAAAGTCGTATATAAGCATTCAATTCCATGAGTGAGAAAGGAATGTTGTTCCCCTGATCTTGGACATGAGTCACACATACCCAAGGAAAAGTGAGTGAAATGTGTGTGTGAGGGGGGAAACCACACACCATAAATAACCACCACTTTCTACATTTCTCTTAGTAGAAAAAATCCAGATGTCTCTCTATATTCAGTTCCTTGCTAGCAATAATAAATGACAGAATGGTAAAATGTTCCCCTATCCCATTTTGCCATTGAAGGAGAAAGTTACATGAGAAAAAGATGAGCGATGTTTGCATATTCTATGTATATGTTTATAATGTCTCTTATCACCAAGATATGTGAGAATTCACAAGGCATTGTTGAATAAACAATATACAAAATCTTGCCCTAACTGGTTTGGATCAGTGGATAGAGCATCAGCCTGCGGACTCAAGGGTCCGGTCAAGGGCATGTACCTTGGTTGAGGGCACCTCCCCAGTACGGGGTGTGTAGGAGGCAGCTGATTGATGTTTCTTTCATTGATGTTTCTAACTCTCTCTTCCTCTCCCTTCCTCTCTGTAAAAAAATCAATAAAATGTTTTTTAAAAAACAATATACAAAATCTAGGAAAACCTTAGAGTTCTTTAAGCCAAATTCTGTCTCTGTATTGTATCATCATCGTTATTCTTATTGACTTGTATAATAGATACTTGTAGTTTGCCGCCTTTTGTGAAAAAATCAAGTTGTAGATTTTTATTACATATTTAAAATCAGGTTCTTAATAATATCAGCTTAACATGAAATAATTTCAAAACCTTTAAAAGGGATATTTTTTTTTTTAAAGAGTTTTTAACCAACATGTTGGTCAATACCAAAAAGAGTTGTCCTTAGAGAAAAATAATAAAAAACCCAGAATGCAGATGTTCTAGTTCTCTGGTCAGTGGGCACAAGGCAGGCACTTAAGGTCTTTGGCAGCAATCACTTGCTCAGGTCTTACTGCTGAAATTTTATATTAATCTCTCTTTGTTGCGTGACTGACCCAGACGATGGTAGAGATTGTAAGCCCTCACTCATGCTCTTCCTGCTCAGCCTCGGAGCTGACTTCCCAACTGTGGTCTCTGCCATCTTGTGGTTTAGGGTTTTTTGGATATCTATGTTGGTAATGAAGTTTGGGGGACAGCTCCACTGAAGTGGCTGCTGACTTTGGGTCTCTTCTTCATTTTTTGCTCCTTTTCATTGCTGTCCTAGGTGAAGAGGGACTCCGAGTCCTGGTCTATAACCCCAATAGGTGACCTGTCTCTCTGCTCTATTTTGTTCTCCTCCAACCTGATAATAGCACCCCCATTGCTTCTCCTTGCACAGGCCTGGGACACCCTGGAGAACACCCATGGTGGGGTCTTCGTGTGGGGAAAGGTATGCATGCTGTGGGTCTGGCACTTAGGGGGGGAGGCACTCTACAATCCCTCCTTCTTTTCCCCATTCTCTTTATTCAGGTAATTTTGCTAATAAAATTGCCCCGAAAACCTCCTACCATAGATAATGTTATGGAAAGGTGCTTCCTGGGGGTTGTTCTTCTTTATGGCAGGCTGGGGTACAAACGCATATTGTTTTTGGTGCCATTCCTGTGGATGAAACTATTATCTGTTTCTTACAATGAACCATTATGACCATTTTATTCTTCCCCAAACCGTCATGATGGCCCATGGGCTGCCACTGCCTTTGCCCTTGCCAATGAAGCCACAGTGAGCGGTGGCAGTGCTGAGGAAGTGCATAAGGCAGGTGCTGGGTCTCAGCCCTGCTGCTCATGTTTACATTAAGGGGGTGGTGCCTAGAGATGACTGTGGCAGCCATGGCTCCTCCCCAGATGTGATGGTAATGGCTGCTGGTGGCAGGAGGGCTGCTAATGGCTCTCTTGGGTTCACTGTCCACTCCAGATCCAACTTAATATTATTCTGTATTCTTATTTCACTCCCTCGTTAGGTCATGTTGACAAGAAAGGGAAAGTAACCTCATCACAAATTCCTAACTGGGCATGTTGTGATGCGTAGTCAAGCCCCAGGCTTGAAATTTCTTTAGTAAGATGTGTATCTTTGCCTTAAGCAAGCCCTTTCACTTCTGATTTGGTGAATAAATGGAGATGCTGTACTGGGAGAAAGGTTTACTCAGAACCCGGTGTCCCTTCCCACATACCTTGCCCTATGCTTCTCCTCCATGTGGCTGTCCCTGAGTTATATCTTTTTATAATAAATTAGTAAACTATTTTCCTGTGTTCCTTGAGATATTCTAGCAAATGTGGAAGGGGCGGCAGTCCTGGAGATCCAAGTCCTTTACTGTGGGATCTGATACTATTTCCAGGAAGTTAGCATCAGAATTTACCAATGGATTTAAAAAGCTGTGGTACATCCACACACTGGAATACTACACGGCTGTAAAAAAGAAGGTTCTCTTTCCCTTTGAGACAGCTTGGAGGGACCTGGAGAGTATTATGCTAAGTGAAATAAGTTAGAGAAAGATAAGAATCATGTGATGTCATTTATATGTGGAATGTAATGAACACAATAAACTGATGAACAAAACAGATCCAGAGACATAGAAACATGAACAGCCTGATGAATCTCAGAGGAAAGTCATGGATAAATGCATGGGTGCGAAGAGATTAACCAAAGAATTGTATGCATATATGCATAAACATGGACACAGACAGTAGGGTGGTGAAGGCCTGAGGGGGTTGTGGGAGTGGGAGGGAGGGGCAATGGGGTAAAGGGGGGAAACAATAAAGATAAATTTTTAAAAAAAGAAGATGGTGAATTCCAAAGCTGCAAAAATTCAAGACTTTCTCAATTAAAAAAAATTCAATACTGTTTTGACTTGTGGGTATGAATTCCACATGGTCTGAATTAGTCCGTAACTTGCTTTTCATCACCTCACAATATGCTTGTGAGCATCATCCATATTGACACGTGGCTCTGGTTCCTGTGGTCTCAGCACTGCCCTGCACTTCAATATGTAGATATCTTTTCCTTTTGCTTCTCTATCCCAACTTCCTAGATAATTGCTTCAGAGTCATCCTTTGCTTCACCAATTCTCTCTTCAATACTTTTCCCTACCGGTTGAGTTTGTAATGCCGATGATTAATTTCTTGAAATTATATTTGGTTATTTCCCAAATATGCCGGGCTTTTTGTTTATTAACAGAACCTGAAGTAAGAGTTGAATATATTTACAATCCTCAGTTCCACTCTCTGTGGCTGCAGCTCACTTATTCCCATGTACTTCACAGGATGGATAACAGCACATTATTATAAAAGGTGTAAGTGTCCCTTCCAAACGGTACTGGTTAAATAAAATGTGGTCCCCTCACATAACAGAGTCTGTAGCCATTTTATTGAAAAGAATGTAGGAACACTACTTCCAATACATTAAGTGGGGAAAAGCAAGGTGCAGAACAAGTTGTATAGCATTTACCTTTTGCCTGGGGATAAAAAGAAAATTGATCTCAGGTTTGTAAATGCAGCAAAACTCTGTGGAAAGATTTACCCAAGAAAGTGTAACAGTGGCTGTCTCTAGGGAGAGGACTTTCATGACTGGGGGTCAGAGGAAAGACAGGACTTAATTTTCATTGTTGAGCCATTTTAGTTTTATACCATGTTATAGATATAGATATAGATATAGATATAGATATAGATATAGATATAGATATAGATATATAGATATAGATAGATAGATGATAGATTTCAATAAAGAGGGAATATGCTAATTGACCATCACACTGTTGCAAAGATGGCGGCGCTCACAGCCAATAAGGAGGAAACATGCTAATTGACTGCCCTGCCCTTAAAAATGATGGAGCCCACAGCCACAACATGGTGGTGCCCAGTCCCTTCAGCCCCACTGGGCAGCAGGCATGTGGCAAGACCAGGCCCGTCCCCAGGCAGGTCCAACCATTGCACGCACCTGCCTCCAGAGTCCCCCAGTCCCCTCAGTCCCCAGCC